TATATATATATATATATATATATATATATAGACTTCAACGATTAAATGTGTAGCGCTTTGCAACTCCTTTACTACTCATCCCGGAATTAGGAAAAGTTTGTTTACGTTCAAAAACGTGTTTATTGGTTTTCTAAATAATGGACTTAGGTAACGCAATTTTTTTCATTTCTTTTCTGTGGGGTTCTGATTTAAGCCCGAAATATTGACAAGCAGCTTTACTAGTTGGCAGAGATTTTTGAAAATTTTTCTAGACATATACGAGACTTTAGATAGTTGGAAGATTGTATTCTATACATGTGAGTGTACATTGATGTTTGTATTTTTCGAAGATTATAACGTTTCATTTGCTGTGCTGCAAGTGGTAAAGTTTTTGTTTATGTGTATTTGAATTTTTATCTCTGATAGATATTTAATTATATAATTAAATTGAATATTATTAGGATCACTAGATTTGGTATCTTTTTTTCTTTGTATAGTTGTTTCCAGTCCTTTGTTACGAATCGTTCATTCTACGAACCAAATCTTAAAAACATTCAATTTTCAAAACTATGCAACGACACGCAATGGTTTTACTTGCACAGGTCGCAACGTGATTTACCATAGACTTTGTAAAAAGTGCGAGTTATCCTACACAGGGCAGAGAGGTCGTCACATTGGAGATAGTTTTAAAAACACTTTTACAACATAAGTAAATTCTTTGTCCCGCAACATATCAACAGTGCTAATCAAACTGAACATTTTTGAAGCTTGATTGATTTAAAACATTGGTAATTAAAACATTCGATAATCAATTGTTCCTTTGGGTGTGATTTTGAAAAAAAAGTAAATGCAACCAAATAAATCGAATGTTTTACATACTTAAAGAAAGTAGCTCTGTACAGGACTTAGCTGGGCACAACAAACCCATCTGTAAATAGACAAAATTGATCACAAAAAAAGGTTTAAATTCAGTTATTACCGAATCAATTTATGACGTATAGCAGTTGCTCTCAAACATTTTCGGCCACCAGCCCTTTGAAGCCATGTATCCACCACTAGCATTCCCCCGATGTATAATTATTACTCAGGATAGTAGTTTTCCCAACTCGGTTACTGATTTCTACACAGGTAATGCATTTTTATTGATGTGTTTGAGCTTAGAAAATTGATGCCCCTGGTTCAACGACTCTCAAATCAATAGCTTAAAACATCTGAAGTATATTTATTTTGCTTGGAAACATCTCAATAACTCCATTCAAACAACGTTCCACCAAATAAGATAGTAGAAATAAAAAAAAAAGGCCTTCATATTAAATTTCTAAGTACACGGTAGCGGAGTGAAGTTTGTTTTTCCTGACACCAAAACACCGAAATGCACCATTAAACTTTGGCCTCCAGCTCGATATTCTGAATTTTCTCTTCATTTAAAAAAAAAACAAAAAACACCAGCTGAAAATGAATTTATCACACAATCCGAAATTTCAAAGAAATTCCTAAAACAGATCAGACAAATTTATTTTATTTTTTACAATGCTCAAAAGTTAACCCCTTCTCTTCTAACTCAGATGGGCTTAGAAATCAACCACTATCATTCCTGAGCAGCGTTAATTTTGATTGAAACGTTAGATCGTATTTATTTGGTTTCTTATAAGCTTGAGCTCATCTAATTCATTTGATAATCATTTGCAAATAGTTATAACAATAGCTATAAGCGCCGGCCCCCTTCCCTTAAATCTACCAAGCATTTTACGGCCCCATACTATTTCCCCACCCCGAACTATTCCACAACCCCCTTTGAGATCTCAGGCACATAATATTAAAGATATGATGGCCAAAAAAGGAAGCATATTCATCATCTTAAAAAGTCAAGGCAAGAGCTTTCAGATCAACCAAGGGAGAGTTCTGAAAGGAATTAAGGATGCACGGTGAGTAGAGTGGGGTGATGCTATACCTCGAAAGGCAAATCATTTTAATTGATACCATCAGAAGATAGTCAACAATTGGTAATCATGCTGGTTTACCTTTCCAAAGTTGTCTCCCTGTATTTCTCATATTTTTTTTTTTTTTTTTTTTTTTTTTTTTTTTTTTTTTTTTTTTTTTTTTTTTTTTTTTTTTTTTTTTTTTTTTTTTTTTTTTTTTTTTTTTTTTTTTTTTTTTTTTTTTTTTTAATTTTTTTTTTAAAGTGTGCAATCCTATTTTTGAATAGATCAGAGATGAACTTCTGAACAAAATTATGGCTAGATTTTTTTTTCAGTTTAACAAGTAGTTACAACACCACGTAAACTCTAAATCTAAAAAAGCTCCGAATATCTAAACACATGTATAAATATTGTCATCGTGATTCTTAAGAACTAATAAACAACACCATTTTCTTTGTGTGTGTGCTGGAACAAAACTGACTGAAGCTCCGGTAAGAAATAGAAACTTACCTTTTGCTTTGAGAGGATGACACTCTGGACCTCCGCAGCGACGCAGTGCTTGCAAAGGAAGTGCCCAGCATAACAACTGACACATTTGTGAAGAGCGCTGACAGATGAGCACGCACTGCATGACATGACGTCAAAGTCTGACAGAATAGTTTAAAATATTATTTTAGCCTTCTGCCATTAGTATATAGGTTATTCAGTCATGGGTGCAGGGTTTTGTTGACTTCATATTCCCAAACATAGTTTTGGCAGTGCATTTACAATAAGTATAGATGAAAGAAAGCTGGAGAGAAATATTACTTTATTAAAATAGTGTATAGCAAAGAGCGTTGCCTACCTTTTCTTTGAGTGAAGAGCCCTTATTAAACAAAATATATAAATTATAATTTTTAAGAGTACCGGTATATTTTGAGAGCCACTATTTGGGCTGAATAAATCATATGGCATTACAGATTAGCCGACGAAAAACACAGCAGAATATTTTCCTTCCAAGAGCCGCTTGCAGCTCCAGTAGCCACACGGTAATAGAATGATACAAATGAGTATATCACTCAACCCTTGCATAGTACGAGTACATTGCGATATGTCTGACATTTATCAGAAACATTAGGCACTTGCCCAACTCTTGGAAATGGCTCTTTTGCATGACTGAAAATGCTAATAACACTGTAAAAAAACCTGAATATCTGGTTTCCTCACACACCCCTGACGTTATCTTCCACGACCCAAAATATTCATGGACACCTATGGATAATAAACCCTGCTCACGGCGCCCCCCCCCATCCAAAATCCCTTTATAAGATCTGTAAAATTATATCATTAAAAAATGTTGTTTTTTTTTTTTTTAAATTAAGCTCATGTGTGCAGAACCCAAGACATCCGATAAAGGGTGATAAAATAGTGACTTACTCAGTTAGAACTTTCATACTTTCGAAACTGATAATTTTTTGTTCCTCCCTACAAAATTGTCAATTAGTCACTCCCTAAAATAAGCTTTATGTCTGAAATATTTTTCTCACCCTATTTAAAAAGAAAACTTAGTGATTTTTTAAAAACATTTTTACCAGAGATGTCACAAGGTCAAAGAAGTTAGTTTCTTAGCACACCTATGTCATCTCTGGTCAAGTTATTGTTCAGTGGCAAACATTTGAGATTTACTGGTCTTAGCTATAAACTTCAATAAATAAAATGCTTAACAAAATTAGTTATATTTTCAAGAAATTATTTTGTTTCTATAAAAACTTATAATTAAATAAAATACCATGAAAAAATGCGCTCCCGTCTGCTTCAAAGTCATCTGTTGTATTTAGCATCAACCTGGTGTTATCACGAGTTATATCTTCATCTGTATCCACGTTGTTGGTCAATTTGTATTTTCTGTATCCAGTGGCACCATACTCCTATCCAAACCAAAAATCCAAAAATGGTCAGAGAAGAAATATTAAACAAACTTCAATTGAATATAGAAGCTTACAATTTTCAGACCATCATTTCAGCATTTAGTGTTATGCAATAAAAAAAAATTAAAATTGATTTATAAAGGATTTCCTGGATTCAAATGTATCATCTTTAGTACACTTAAGTAAATAAAACATGTATAGTCTTATTCTCGAACTTCAGTCGTGAGTTTTAAGCCTAGTAATAACTGTTTCTAAAGACGCTCAAATTTTCCACCCTGCAGACTTGACGTTCTGCAGAGGATTAAGTATCTCAATGATGCCAGAATGCATTCTCGTTTTCTAAGTTTACGTACGTTCATTACACTTTTTGATGTTGCCGAGGAGCAGGCAATGGGACCCCTGTCTGCGCCACGCTCACCAGCTGCCGGGGACGAACTTGGATGATTCGTTGGTCTGCGTGCGAGATTCTCAGCATTATCTGAAACCGAAGACATTGGTCTTACAGGCTCATCTTCCACACTTGTCATGGTGTCAAGAAACGATGTGTGATGTATTAGGTTTGTGGCACAGGCCATAATGTTTGGTGCATTGGGTTTGTGGCACAGGCCATGCTGTTTGATGTATTAGGTTTCTGGCACAGGCCATGCTGTTTGATGTATTGGGTTTGTGGCACAGGCCATGCTGTGTAAGAACTCAGTGTACAGAGTAATATTACGTATAAAAAAACATTAAAAGGTTATCAAAATTTTGCATATTTATAAAAATAGCATCGCTATTTGATTTGCATAAGTATTTTAACAATTGAAAGTTTAATATTTAAATAAAAATATTTAGTCATTCAAATGCATAATTTAAATTCTTGAACAATCGCATGGAGTGGGCCATTATGGTGGAGAAAATCTATTTTTAGAAGTTTTCAACAAACAAACAAACAAAAAAAGCATTGGTTTTACACAAGGCCACCTCACGCACGTGTTTCAAATATTTGTTAAATTAATAACAATACCATCTAAAAGAGAATTTAACAATGTTTATTTTTTTAATCTTCTTCTTTTTTTAACTGTAATTATTTTAGTGTAAATTCGTTATAGGGTATCTCAAACCTCAAGCACATAAAGAAATTGTAAATTTTCTGTTATCTAAAAAGTTACACGTAAAAGTTTCTTAAATTTTATTTAATGCTAAAACTATATCAAAGGTGTACCAATCTTTGAAATTTTAAACTCAACCCTAGCTACGCCACTGATCGTAGGAGAAACACGTAAGGGTCTGTTTTTATACATTATGACTTTCATGCTAAATATCACAATACTATTTCCAAATACTTTGGGATATGAAGACAAGACAAATCAAAAGACTATTTAAAAATCTAATGTGATTAAACCTACGAGACGATAGTGTGTAGCAAATTTGATTTACGATTGTGAGTGACTAGGGGAGATAACATAAAATATAAAATCTAACGTTTTGCAAGAATCAAACAGTGTTTGAAAGAAATTCACCACTTAAAATTATGGTATAGAATATTACAATTTTAAACTTAATTAAAAGAAAAGAGTGAATAAAAATGTTTGTTAAATTTTTCTTTAAATTTAGAACAAGCAAGGATACCTGATTGAAGCGAGTCGCTCTCTGTCGTCAGAAAAAGTTTACTCTTTGAATTCATGACGGCATTCGGACTCTGAGCAGATGAAAATTGTTTCATTTTACCCAAAAAATAATTGGCTATGCTTTGTAGATGCCCACTGCCAAAACATTTTCCTGTCATGTTTTGCCCCACTGAAATATCAGGCATGGCTTTGTCATTTTGTTTAGATTCTTGGTTTGCTATTTCTGTGGATAAAAGTGCAAGTAATTCTTGGACTGTCGGGTTGGCCTCATAAGGATCGTTCTTTGGGTATAAGCCAGCCTGGAGTTCTTTCCTTGGAGATGATAAAGAGTTAGAAGGCACCAAGGCATACCACTCATCATCATTTTTCATTTCTGAACTTATACTTTCAATATTTGCTTTCTTACTGGGAACAAAGTTAGGAGATTCTAAGCCAGTTTTAGCATGAGAACGTTTCCCTGTTGATGCAGCAGTTTCAGATATGGTCCTACTTGTTCCTACTTCCATGCATATTTCACCACTTCCTGTTTGTGTATTAGATAAAGAAGAGTTGAGGGAAGGGTTAGTTGTGGATGCCATGTTTGCTTGTACGTCTGAATTTATTTTAATTTTGTTAGTAGAAATGGTGGATTCCGAACGCCCTGCTGGATGTTCAAGAGAGCTCTTAGGCTGAAGATTTTGTGATGAGGTCATGCTGTAATCCACTGGTGAAATGTCACTTTCTTCTTTTGATGCACCATGTTCTGTAGTTAAGAAAAAAATTAATATATTTTTATCAAAAGATAATTGTTAAAAAAATAAAGAGAAATAAATTATATTTTATTTTTTTAGTTCTACGTGTCCCCTGTCAATTGAGCAGAGTTGCGGAAGGGATGGGGGTCAATAAAATTGTAATAATTACAGAGAAAACTGCGTGGCAAGTTATAGTTTCTTATACAATTATGTCTAATTAATGAAAATTCAAACGCGGTCAAAAGCATCAATAAATATACTTTGGTTGCAGGCTAACCAAACTGTGCAGAAATTATCAGTTTCAAAATAAACTGTGTAAAAGTCAACCTTACAGAATTAAAAACACAATTTTAAATTTTTCTTCTTCTATTTATACTATTCACCTTTATAAACGTGCTCATTATAATTTATATCGTATTAATTATAAAAGGTAATAATTTTTTTTAAATGTGACGATGGAGTGGGCTTCGTAGGACGAAATCCACATAGCCTGGGATTATTATACTTGAGGGATTATAAGCTGGTTCCCAACAGCAAATCGCCTCTCTACACGCCGCTGGGTAACCCATCATTGGATGATACAGCTTGGCACCAGTGACGTCGCAGGAGTTGTTGGAATGTTTCATTGTATCAATGTTATCCGCCTTTCGGGACTCCGGTTTGAGTTCAGAGTTTCCTTCTCTTAGATGAGTTGCCGTCCAAGGTTAACGAGTCCCATCTACCCGGGGTGCTGGTGGTGTTTTTGCTCTAGCTGGAATTGAACTCCAGACCACCAACTTGATATTTGCTCAGTTTAGACCACTCGGCCACCCAGCACCCATTTAATTCTATTATTTACAAATAATTCAACCTGATAGACCAATTAGAAGAATTTGGTAAATTTATTCATTTGAAATTGCGGCTGCAAAAAAAAAAAAAAAAAAAAAAAAAAAAAAAAAAAAAAAAAAAAAAAAAACAAAACAATATAGATTTCGTCCGAGTTTAACTAACATTTTAACCAGTCTATTTTAGTTGACACTCTGTACAGGTCGCCAAACTAAGCTGTCTAAAAGAACGTACAATTTTTAAAAAAAAGTGTTTTAATTATTGATTATAAGAAATCCTTTTTTTTTTTTTTTTTTTTTTTATTTTTTTTTTTTTTTTTTTTTTTTTTTTTTGGGGGGGGGGGGTATAATAAAAAATAATTTAATAAATAACTTCATTGACTTTATCAAAGACGAATGAAGAATTGATTTAAATTTATCCTAATAGGGCATTATTTATTTTTTGGGGTAAAAAGATGAAAAATAAAGAAACAAAGATCGACGGCATTGATGTCATGTACAAAAAAAAAATGTTTAACCTGATTCCAAATAGATATCAACAGCCTGCTCGACAAGAGTGTCGAGTGCTCTCTCTCCCGACAGACTTGCTGCGCGCGTCACAGAGTCCATAACAATCCTTAGTTCTGCTTCGGGGAAAACTTGCAACAGTTTGACCGTTGCTTGGAGGATTTCTTCACCCGCTTGTGTTTCATCAACCATTTTGTTGTCCCTGTGGCATCTCTCCGCTGTTGAGAGCAAAGTAATGATGATAAATGATTAATAAACATGTTGTTGTCTCTAGGGTATCTCTCGGCTGATTCTAACATAAACATATGCAAGAGTCCAAGTTATTAGAAGTGAGTAAACATATACTTTTCTTAAGAACAAAGCGACCTGCTGTCTTTTGATTTCAAACAGCTGAAACGGCCATGAAGACATTGGGCAAAACAATCAAAAATGACTCAGAATATTGATTTTGCCACTGCTTCAATAAGCATTTGTTATTATCATCAGACGATTTGAGAAAGACAGATCTGAAGAATGGCATCGTTTGCATGGTCTGCTATTTTAGCAATACATTTATTGACGTCATAGGCAAGGTCTGCTATTTTAGCAATACATTTATTGACGTCATAGGCAAGGTCTGCTATTTTAGCAATACATTTATTGACGTCATAGGCAAGGTCTGCTATTTTAGCAATACATTTATTGACGTCATAGGCAAGGTCTGCTATTTTAGCAATACATTTATTGACGTCATAGGCAAGGTCTGCTATTTTAGCAATACATTTATTGATGTTGAAACGGTTATTGTATGGTTTAAAGACACCGGTCTAAACAAAGAGTCGCAAAATAACTTCCGGCTACGTAACTACCGCTAGAGTATCAGTGTATGCGTGGTACATTCGTCTAACTAGCCGATCCCCGCCCCACCTACAACACAACTCGTGGTCCCCATGACCTACTCCCGCAACCCCCAGTAATCCGTTGCTTAAAATGACTGTTGTAGTGACATACACATGTCTTAACTTATCAGTATTGTATTAACAACCGGTAACAGAATGTGTTTGGCGCCTAGCCATCTGGCTTATCGGTTTTATTTTCACGTGCATCTTTTACCAGACGTTATTCATTCCCATATCCACACACCCCAACATGAAATGTTCCCCCCGTTTTCATTTGGCAACCCTACCTATTACTTGCAACAACCCGTCTTACCACGTAACTTTTGGATTAGAAGAAATTGTCATTTTTAACTGTAATGCGAACTTTTCGCGGACCCCTTTTCGCTCCCCATACAAACGGATGTCTTCTTATGCATCTAAAGTCACCCCCATAGTACTTGAATGTAAATTTACCAAAGTCAACATCTGCGTGGGAAACAATGAAAGAATTTGGGGGATTTATCTTCTTGCGGCACAAATCGGAAGTTAAGAGTTTCAAACTTAAAACGTGCGTACCACACAGTTTTGCGATGCGTACCACACAGTTTTGTGGTGCGTACTTCCATACTACCGAGGAGTTTGCAGGAGGTAAATGATTTTACATTTTACAAAAAAAGATGATAGAAATGGAGGTACACATTTTTTTTCCCACTCCTTTCTCGCCTAACTGTTATGTTTAATGTTAAGTTCGCATGGGCAAAACGAAATTTCCTACACTTAAGAATTCATTTTACCATTTTTTTTCCCCCATGTTCTCGGCATTATGCCATTTTTCTTAACAGAACTGAAAAAAAAATTTGTTTTGAATAAAATATGCTTCCAGGTACAGGTTTAAAAGGCATTTAAACGTTCTCTTGCCCTGCTTTAAAACTCGGTAAAAAGTATTAACTAAATTAAAATTTTAAAAATTTATTTTTTGCATTGGCAAAGCGCATTACGTATCTCAAAGTGTGAAAGCACACCATTTTGGAATGACTAGTTTAACACACCATTCAGGAATCAATAATTTTTTATTTTTTAAATTTTTGTAAATATATAGCGTATCGTCTTTTTTTTCCTTTTATTATTTGGGGGAGGGGGCAGCGGGGATTTTTAAATTTATGTTTCTTTACCTTATACAGTGTGCTTCCATCGTTATACAGTGTGCTTCCATCGTTATACAGTGTGCTTCCATCGTTTTACAGTGTGCTTCCATCGTTACACTGTGTGCTTCCATCGTTACACAGTGTGCTTCCATCGTTATACAGTGTGCTTCCATCGTCATACAGTGTGCTTCCATCGTTATACAGTGTGCTTCCATCGATAATACAGTGTGCTTCCATCGTCATACAGTGTGCTTCCATCGTTATACAGTGTGCTTCCATCGATAATACAGTGTGCTTCCCTCGTCATACCGTGTGCTTCCATCGTTATACAGTGTGCTTCCATCGATAATACAGTGTGCTTCCATCGTTATACAAAGTGCTTCCATCGTCATACAATGTGCTTCCTTACAGTGTGCTTCCATCGTTATACAGTGTGCTTCCATCGATAATACAGTGTGCTTCCCTCGTCATACCGTGTGCTTCCATCGTTATACAGTGTGCTTCCATCGATAATACAGTGTGCTTCCATCGTCATACAGTGTGCTTCCATCGTCATACAGTGTGCTTCCATCGTTACACAGTGTGCTTCCATCGATAATACAGTGTGCTTCCATCGTTATACCGTGTGCTTCCATCTACCATAAGTTAAGTTTATTTAGTAAGAGAAGCAGAACATCAGTTTTAACAAAATACCATTACCCATATGTCAAGTCCTGCAGCAATGTCAAACAACGCCTGCCACATTATTTATAAACGTATGATTCAACAAACACAGGAAATGTAATTGTTGTATGTAGTTGGTATCGCACACTGGCATAAGGTAATAAATGCAAAGACTAATCTTGACATTATTTAAAAGGTTTTGACATTTAAAAAAAAATTTTTTTAGATATAATAAGTGCTAGTGTATTAATATTAGTTTCAGATTTTGATCATATTCCATACATTTATATATATTCAAAATCCGAAACAAAGTAGTTCAAATACGATTTTTTTTAAAAATGGTTTTTGAATTGGTTCCGTGGGTCCCCAGTACATGGAGTGTGACCTCAAATGGAACGTGACCTCAAATGGGGTTGCAAAGGAATATTTGTGCGGTTACTTGTTGGTGAGATTGTAAAACTGTTTTATTTTTAATTTGTGACTTTAAGTTGGAGTAACAATTTCAACCATAGCGTTTACTATATATAGTTAAATCCCATTGGTCCGTTCAAATATGAAGATCGGTAGACCATCTAAAAAAAAAAATGTTTTTTTTTTAAAAAAAAGGACTCGGTTTCACTGATGGCCTACGTTTATGCTTAGCACAGTACGGCAGCTACCACTTTGAGAAGTCAACCATAATTAAAAATCGGTTTTTGCAATTCTTAATTAAAACGGCAGTGTAGATGAGTGTCATTTTAATTTCTGTTGAATAGTTATATTTATGTAATGTTACTGTAAATGGCTGGCATTTGTCATTTTTCCTATGTATTACTGCGGCGTGGCTTAATTTTTAACGTGTTTAAGTGAAAGCGGATCGATCTTCCTCGTCATTCAGAGCGAAATTCATAAAAAATTGTAGGCTATATTTAATTATTTTTTTGTCGTTATTATTTTACTCCAGCAGGACAGAGACGTCGTTTCGGTAGTGCGAAAAGGAAGGGGGGGGGGGAGCATTTTAAAAATAAAATCTACATTCTCTTAGGTTCATCATAGCGTATAATATATATATATATATATATATATATATATATATATATATATATATATATATATATATATATATATTATAATAATAATAAAGTTTATTTGAAACACACGCTTCATCCCCAAAACCTCGAAGGGCGGTACAAAGTCAACCATATTATAAAGACAAATAAAAACAATCTGAAATTTACCACATTTAAAAACAGACGCAACAATATAAAGCTACATACGAGCATACCCAGTCAAAGTCTTTCATCCCGTTTCAACCATAAGCAACACAGGCCAATATACATTAACTGAAAAAGATGGTAGACAGCATCACCCCAGGAGGTGTTTGCGAAATAGATGGGGTTTTAAATCTGTTTTAAAGGACTCCAGTGTCTTGCTGTTTCTGAGAGCGACTGGAAGTGCGTTCCGAATTGTTGGGCCGGCAAATGCAAAAGTGCGCTTTCCGTAAGTCTCAAGGCGAACACACGGTATCGATATTTTGCCACAATCGGATGAGCGGAGCTCTCTAGTGGGTACATAAGGCATCATGATATATATTATATCCTTATGACATTTTCCTCCAGCACCGTGAAAAGTGAGTTTATAAGTTGGCGGTAAACTGAACTCAATGACGTTGTCAATTCAAGACTGCCGATATATTACTTTGTTAATTTAAATACAGGAATATAGTACTAACCGAAAATTATGTCTAATTACATCTTAATTGCTTTCAAAACAGACACAAATGAAAAAAATCGATATATTTTAATAGTTTTTGATAAACGTTTTGGGGGGACTTTTGTACAGGTCTTGGTCCAACAAGGTTAGTGTGTATGCCCCTTACCTGGCATGGGACAAAACAGGGTTGGTATGAAAGCAACTCATCTTTCCTGGCATGGGACACAACAGGGTTGGTATGAAAGCAACCCATCTTACCTGGCATGGAACACAACTCATTTTTAAACTAAGAGCGACGCCCCAAGTTATCTGAAGTGAAACATGTTATTTCAACATTCTAAAATGTTATTGTTGTTGCTTTTATAATTCCGCGTACAAAATTTCCGAGAGTATCTCAGTAAACAAATTCAGAATATTCCAAGGATATGAGAAGAAGGAAACAAGGGAAACAACGCAAAAATAATCAATTGCTAAATTTTTTTAAAAATTTTTTATTAATATTTGAAGCATAAATATATAAATTAATTCGTAGAGGAGGGGGGTGGTGACTGATTATATTATTTATAGACAAAAGTTGGTTATTCCTATTAGTTAGTGACAATACTAAGTTATTCCTATCAGTCAGTGACAAAAGTAAATTATTCCTATCATTTAGTGACAAAGGTGGGTTATTCCTATCAGTAGGTGAGACGAGTGAGTTACTTCTATCAGTTAGTAGCATGTTCTTTTTTTGTGTTGTTTTTTTTTTTTGTTTGTTATAACAACATGTCATTGATACTTTGTTAACAGGTGTCGTCATGATTAATTAATAATTACTTGAGAAATTGATAGTGATAATCGATTATGATCAATTTCCCTCCACCCCCACCCCACCCCTACCCCACTTTTCTTGCTGACCAAAAATTGACGTGAAGTAACCACTTCAAAACATGTTAAAAAATGAAAAGAAAATGTTAAATTAACTAAATTGAAGCAAAATTTCTGGGTAGCATTGGGTGTTATCAAAGACCGTGTACATTGTTGGTGACTCAATGTTGTCCACGCAGCTGTCGAACATCCGCCCCGAGGGGTTGTGAGGGGGCCGTGTCAGGGATTGATTTCCGTCAATCCACTGACCACACAGGACTCTGGCAATGAACATATGCTTTCTGGGACAGGCGTATGTCTGTGAGTAGGCTGCCGACTGGCTGAAGTAAATACCTAGGGACATAAATGGGTGGCATCTTCAAAATAAAATCTACATTCTGTTTAGTTCATCATTTACTGAATCAAATAGGTTGCCGTATTTTCGTTAATACTCATTAAAATAGGAATTTTACTTTGCGATACTTAATATTTTGCAAACATTGTTTTGGATATTTTTAAAACTTTGAGAGCAAAAATGTCTGCTAAAATAAATAAGCCAAACTATGGTATGCTACTGAAAAAAAATGGATTTTTATTCACACTTTAAAAAAAAATAATTCTTTAGCAGTTATTTAAAATAAATATTAATTTAATTACAAAATCTATGTCCATAGGTGTACTGTCAATCTTAAAATGTATGTCTAACTTCCAGAGTGCTTTTAAAAGCTTGGACAGTTCTTCTTCTTCTTCTATATCTTAAGGGCCCACGATCAATTTATTGATCATTTTGGCTCCTATGCATGTAGATGGGATTTGCAGTGTTTCTGTGCCTTGTGTTGATGAGGATATTTCACTGATTTTCAGTGCCTTTTTGTGAAGAAATCATGCACTAGGGGTTTGAAGGCTTGAGGTAATAGACACAAATGTGTCTAGTGTTGCCGCCTCAACCGTTCCTTTTGAAAGCTTGTTCCAGTCCCTGATTGTCTTGGGCAGGAATGAGCAGCTCCCAAACTGGCTTCTTGCTGGTATGAGCCTGAATTGCCTGTCATGGCCTCGTCGCTGTCTTTGGGGGAGAAGGGCGAGTTTCTGTTTAATACTGGAACAGTGGACCAGCCCATTATTTATCTTGTACATCATGGAGAGCCTGGATTGTCGTCGTCGTACCTCCAGTGGTGACCAGCCTAGTCTTTCCAGCATGCTGCCAACACTAAGAGGTATTCCTGTAGCGGTTTAGGACAAAGCGTGCTGCTCGTCTCTGGACCGCCTCCAACCTGTCGATGCTCTTCTGGGTAAATGGGTCCCAGACTGAAGAGGCATAATCTAAAAGCGGCCGGACAACAGATTTATAGGCTCTTTCTTTCACGCTGGAATTGCCAATCTTTAGATTTTGCCTTAAGAACCCTAGGGTCTTGTTTGCTTGGTTACATACATGGTTAATATGCTCGTCCCAGCGGACCTCTCTTTGAATGGTAACACCCAGGTACTTTACGGAGGAAACTTGCTCAAGTATATGGCCGTGCAGTTTGTATTGGTAGTGTAGAGGAGTACAACTTCTAGAGACTGATAGTGTCTGGCACTTGGCAGGGTGAAATTCCATGTCCCAGCTCATCTCCCACTCAGCTAACAGATTGAATCATGTTGTAGCTGGTCCTGGTCAGATCTGTTGGCGATCATCCTATACACCGCTGTGTCATCTGCGAACAGCCTTGGTTGTGATGTCAGTTTCTCGGGTAGGTGTCACCATTTATAATAAGCTAACATGGCATGAGCACGGCCAAATCCTGTATAAGAAATTCAACCAAAGACTGTTCTACCTCAATAAACTGTACAATTTTGGCGTAAACAAGCAAGTCGTTAACTTATTCTGCCGTGCAACTATTGGAAGCCTCCTTAATTTCAGTATTACCTGCTGGTGTGGGAATTCAACGTCTGATATTAAACACCGTATAAACTATAAACAGACTAATCAAGAAAGCTAGAAACATAACACAAATTAAACATCCATCACTTGAAGAACTATTTGAAGAAAGATGTTTTTGAAAAACTAAACACATTTTGGATGATACATCCCACCCTCTTCATCCTAGATACTTAGGATCGGGCTGTTCAGGACGAATTCTTTCCATCAGGGCGAGGACTGACCGATATAAAAATTCTTTTGTTCCCCAATCTGTACGAATTTACAGGCATGCTTCCTCTGAAGTCACACATCTGAATGAGAATTAATAAGTCCCCGATTTTGCTAAGAGAACTCACTGAATGGCTGTTTGAAATAATTTATTATAAATGTCTTGTGTTCAAATTGTTTTATTTTTGTGCTGAAAATGTATAATGCAATAAAAAAAAACATTTTTATTTATTTGGATCAAATAAAAGAATCTTATCTTATCTTAATGTATGCTAGGAACAAACAGGGGCCCAGCACTGATCCCTGGTGGACCCCTGACTACACATTGACAAAGGAGGAGCTTGTACCGTCCACCACTACTGCTTGGCATCGATGACTGAGGAAGCTAGAGATCCATGATTTAGTGGTGCCTTGGATCCCATATCTCTGGAGTTTGTGTAGAAGCAAACTATGATTCACACGGTCAAATGCCTTTGCGAAGTCCATTACCAGCACGTCAGTCTGCTTGTGGTTCTCCAGATTGGTCATCAGATATTCTACAAATTCAAGAAGCTGGGTGTCACATGATCTATTGACTCAAAAGCCATGTTGACAGTTATTGAGTATATTTTGGCTTTCCAGATGCTTCATGACTGTGCTTACGATTATGTGCTCCAACAGTTTGCAGACGACGCTGGTGAGGGATATCGGACGATAGCTGGCAGGGTCGGAATGCTCCCCTTTCTTGTAGATAGGAGTGACATGTGCTGTTCTCCAGTCTGCTGGAACATTTCCTGTGCGCAGTGACGATTGGAAGAGGATTGTCAGTGCAGGGTCGATTTCTTTTGCTAATTCTTTGAGCACTCGTGGTTTGATGTTGTCAGGATCACATGCTTTGTAAGGGTTAATGGTATTGAGGAGGGCAAACACACCTTGTTCTGATATCTGGATAACTCCCATGACAGGGTAGGCTCTGTTTATCATTTTGTTCTTAAGAAGGAACTCAGTGTCAGAGTACGCTCTACCGTCATCAAAGACAGACCGGAACGATGTCAAAGAAGTTTAACAAGTATAGAAAGCTTTAAACACTAATACTAATATAATATTGTTTTAACAACATAACAACAAGCATGTTAAAATTTAATCTTTGCTCCGGCATTTTTATTTACAAGTGTTACATAAAAATACCTTTGCCCAGGGAATTTCCATTTGCAGCTTGCACTCTGAAGTCAAATCCCTCATTGCAAATCAAGTTGATATTTTCATATCTGGTGCCGTGAAACAAAGCCTTCTCCTGGATGTTTTCAATTCCTAATTCTTCAACCATGTGCTTTCGTTTCCTGCACAGAGAGAGAAAATAAGAAATGTGAATTTTGATCCAAATCTGTCAGTCAAGGGGAAATAACTCAAGCCGTTGTGATAGGATAACTAATTAGAAACTGTGTCATGACACACTTAATTGAGACCCAGGCTCACAGATTTGTCATGATATTTTAATGAAAGTTATTTAAACAAATTGAAGAAAACAGTTGTTTGAGCCCAGCTGAACACGCCAACAGCAAACAGATTACGTAAGTACTCAGCCCGAAATTTGAGTGAGGCCACCTGATGACGCCGACAGCATATATACATTACCTAAGTACTCAGCCAAAAAGTTGTACTTTCCTAAAAATGAATGTGCTAATAAATTCAGGAAAATTATTCGCTTTTTTAACAGGTCAAAACTGATTAAAAGTTTTAATAATCCACACAGAAGATGAGATAGGCAAACAGCATCAACACAACCGGAAAAAAAAATGATTACATAGAAACAGTACTCGACATTGTTCTGTCAACAGTGTGTAGGTGCTTTTCAAAGCTTTTCAACAAATTTTTTGTGTGTTAAATCATAAGTAATAAGGGCTGATATGGCACTAAGTTTCATCATGATTAATTAAACTACTGTTACAAGGAAATACAACTAAATGCCACTGTTGTCATAAGGAAGTCATTGGTCAAGGGGGGTGGATGACAGCAATGACAAGGCGGGTCCTGGACTTACAAAACATATCTCTCCCACAGCCTCCTGTTCTGGATTCGCCACAATCCAACTATATTTTTTACTCTAGGATTGGTTTTCTTGAAATATGTTCTCCAACGTATTGCTTCATGGCTGGTTGGATCAATTTTCACCTGTACAGAGTAAAAATGGGTTAGGCTGAGAACTAATAAAGGAAATTCCCAAGGCTGGGGAAAATAATGCAACATCTGATTATAATTATGAATTGCATTTTATGATGCAAAAAGTGATGAAGATCATAAAAGAAGAAAAAAAAATTGCGTTATTTTATTTCAAGAAGTGTGGTGTCTTAAATGGCTACCAACTGTATCAGGATGATTAAATGGCTACCAACTGTATCAGGATGATTAAATGGCTATCAACTGTATCAGGATGATTAAATGGCTACCAACTGTATCAGGATGAATAAATGGCTACCAACTGTATCAAGATGATTAAATGGCTACCAAATGTATCAAGATGATTAAATGGCTACCAACTGGATCGGGGTGATTCTTCTTCTTTATTTTGAGGGCCCACGATCAATGACCTGATCATTCTGGCTAAACGATTAAATGGCTACCAACTGGATCAGGATGATTAAATGGCTACCAACTGTATCAGGATGATTAAATGGCTACCAACTGTATCAGGATGATTAAATGGCTATCAACTGGATCAGGGTGATTAAATGGCTACCAACTGTATCAGGATGATTAAATGGCTACCAACTGAATCAAGATGATTAAATGGCTACCAAATGTATCAGGATGATTAAATGGCTACCAACTGGATCGGGGTGATTCTTCTTCTTCTTTATTTTGAGGGCCCACGATCAATGAGATGATCATTCTGGCTAAATTATTAAATGGCTACCAACTGGATCAGGATGATTAAATGGCTACCAACTGGATCAGGATGATTAAATGACTACCAACTGTATCAAGATGATTAAATGGCTACCAACTGAATCAGGATGATTAAATGGCTACCAACTGGATCAGGATGAATAAATGGCTACCAACTGGATCATGAGGATTAAATGGCTACCAACTGGATCAGGATGATTAAATAGCTACCAGCTGGATAGTGATGTTTAAGCGGCTGTCATCTGGACGAGCATGATAGAAATGTCGTCTAACTCTATGCTGTATCAAGGCTATTTCAAAATTTGTGTCAATGAACCGTTTAGAAAAAGTCTTAAATTTCCGAATTATTATTTTTTTTATATAATATTCCTAAGTGATTCTAGACAGAATTATACTTTGGAAATAATGACAAGGACACAATGATCCTTTTTAAAATCCAAATAACTTTATAACCATAAAATCTAAACAGTAAATTGTTTTTTAGAATGTTGAAAGAAAAATATTGGCAAACGTGTTACTTCGTAGTACAGATTGGCAAGTCTGAACCCGGAATAGCAAACACTCTGGAAGTTATTTTGTTACCGATAACACTTAAGAAACTTAATATTTTTAAAATGCTACCCCGACTAGCTTTTTTTTTTTGTTTTTTAAAATGAAAGCTTGAGTGTTGCAGGTACTTGGACATTGTTCAATTAAATCAGGTATGGCATCATTGCAGCTCGTTTAAATTACCACTCCATGTTGTCTTGGAAACGATACCACTCATCAGTACATGTCACCAGGAATCTACCACAAATACTAGATAACAGTTAACAGGTTACACCCGATGAAGGCCATTCACCTGAAAATCATCGCAGACAATATCTGCATTCTCCCAGTTGAGTGGCAGCACTGTGATGTCATTGAGACATTCTGTCCCCACAGAACTCAGCAGGCAGCAAATTTCGTAGTCGTGCTTTTTTGTCCATTTAGACTTGCAGTAGCGACAGCATCTCTTGAAATGATGGGAAATAAAACAACACGTTAGCTTTAGATATAAAACTTGAAAGGCTGACCAAAACAAAAAGTTAGTAGCTGGCAGCTACTATAGTAGCTCCTATAGGGTATTTCTGGTGGCAATATCTACAAGATAGAACTGGGTGTAACCACACAACTTGCCATCTTCGGACCCGTCTATCTGTTACATCCACACAACTTGCCATCTTTGGACCCGTCTAACTGTTACATCTACACAACTTGCCATTTTTGGACCTTTCTAACTGTTACATCTACACAACTTGCCATCTTCGGACTGGTCTAACTGTTACATCTAGACAACTTGCCATCTTCGGACTGGTCTAACTGTTACATCTCTCCAACTTTCCATCTTTGGACCCGTCTAACTGTTACATCTCTCCAACCTCCCACCTTTAACCCGTCTAACTGTTACATCTACACAACTTGCCATCTTTGACCTGTCTAACTTTTACATCTACACAACTTGCCATCTTTGGACCCGTCTAACTGTTACATCTATACAACTTGCCATCTTTTGACCTTTCTAACTGTTACATCTACACAACTTGCCATCTTTTGACCTTTCTAACTGTTACATCTCCACAACCTGCCATCTTTGACCTGTCTAACTGTTACATCTACACAACTTGCCATCTTTGGACCCGTCTAACTGTTACATCTACACAACTTGCCATCTTTTGACCTTTCTAACTGTTACATCTACACAACTTGCCATCTTTTGACCTTTCTAACTGTTACATCTACACAACTTGCCATCTTTGGACCCGTCTAACTGCTACATCTACACAACTTGCCATCTTTGGACCCGTCTAACCGTTACATCTACACAACTTGCCATCTTTGGATCCAGATGTTTTGCAAATCATAAATGAGTATATGTGTCATGAGGGCAAATAAAAAAAACAACAGTACTTGCTATAGGCTGAATCATCAAATACAATTAGTGCCATCAAACAAACAGTTAAATTTGAGTTGTTGGCCTTTGATATAATCCAAATATTATTGTAACCAGTTAACCATAATATTCGCACTAGATAAACTGGTTCCAGAATGTAAATAAAACACAACTTTTCACTATATAGCAACACTCATTGTGTGTGTTATTTAAAGAGAGCGACTCGTTTGGAAGCTGGATCCCTCACCATGGTGCAATTGTAATTACCACACACAAACTCATACTGTCCATTGTCCACTAGTCCTGAGTAGTTACAGGAAGGACAGCTGAAAGTAGAAGAGAGACATTACTAATAAACAAAGTGGACATGGTTTAAGGTGTATTATAAATTTTAAAGTTTTACTTTAGATGCTTTTCAGATAATTCCCCGATAATTCCCCGATAATTCCCCAGATTCTAATCAGAGATATGAAGCCACGTAATTTAGACTTCACTCAAATTAAATGATCTTTCTTATCCTGGAATTTTAAAAGCCACTGTAAAATGTGTCAAAATGGTGAGGGACCACAGAGCGGCAGTTAGTATTCAGAGATTGAAAAGTAAAGTTCAGAGTTTTTAAGCTTATTTTCCTCCATTGATACCTTTATTTATATGGGCTTTGAAGATGAGTAAGTAGTCGATTTTGAACCCCAAGCCAAGTTTCCCCCCCCCCCCCCCCGATTTTAACCATCCCCCTTTTTGAAAAGATCACTTATTTGGAAGACTTGTTCGTTCTGTCAAACTAACTGGGATGACCACAGATGGATTATAGCTTTCTCTTAGTTGTTAGGTGAACTATGCTGCAACTTCACAATGGCGCCTCCATAATTACTAGCTGCCTGTCATTTTTCTAGAAATTTAAGTTTTTCCTGCTCCATGAGCTGACAGAAAGAAACTCCACATCATCATCTGTCTAATTTCCTAAAATGGCTGACCATCACACTCGCCCAACTCACCTGACCAAACCGTCCATCTTCTTTATGGCATTTGTAGAAATTTCAAGTTCTTTCTGTTGAATGTTTTTCCTGAGCAGGCCAAGTAGGAATTCATCTACAATTTGCTCCAGTGATGCTGAAAATGGTCAACACTTGTTTAAAAAAAAGCTATGGGCAATAGTTAAAGCTAGAGCTGTAGATGAAACCCTGCCAAACGCCGTCCTATAATAATTCTTTGAGATCCAGGACACATTCTTTAAAAGTGAGTAGGATCTCTCATTCCTTTTCAAAATTCAGTTTTAATATAAGAAAGCCGTATTGTAATGTTGAAAGAATTAAAAAGAATTTCAGAAGTGGGAGTTTTCAAAATTAAGGACGTTAAAATGATCATCGGATTTTTTTTTTTTTTTTTTTTTTTTTTTTTTTATTTTTTTTTTTGATTCAAAACAAATAACAGATGGTGATTTTTTTAAAAAAACGAATTATTTTTACCACTTTTTAAAGAGAATATTTTAAGACTTTAAAAATTGAACAACGGTAGGTTAATCACTAACGTAACAGGGAAGAGAGTTCCTTCGACAGTCCTAAAAATAGATTTCAAATCCTGCTTGCTAATACTTTATGTATCTCTTACTTTGCTGTTCGGAACATTTTGAAATTCATTGTAAGATCTGACATCCAGTTTTCAACCGTAATCCTAATTTAACTGGTTTAGCTTCAAATGAGATAGTATTGTGCCTAGTAAAAAGTGGTTTACTTACGAAGCAGACAGATATTATTATCCATAATAATAATGGATTTCTTTAATTTAAAAATGGGAAAGAAAAAGATCAAGGCAGTTTGTTGATATAATTTTTTTTTTCATTAAAAGAATTAATGTAAATTTAACAGAATATAGGCCTATCAAATGTTTTACATACTCAAACAAAGTTGCTCTTGACAGGACTCTGCTGTGCACAACAAACCCATCTGTAGAACACACAAAATTTGATATTTTTTAAAAGATAAAAAAAATTATTACAGTATCAAATATTAGATGATGGAAACATTTTATGTTTTTGGCTCATTGGGTGTGAGGCTGAAAGTTGAATGACCTCAAACAATTTATTACATTTAATAAATGGAATTAACAAATAAATGGTTCTTTGTCATGGGATATGTATGAAGTAAATATCTGCAGTAAGGAAGCATATAAATGGTCTTAAAAAATTAGAGTCCAGCACTTTACGGTATACATTTTAGATTTCTGAAATGAATGAAGGATGCACTGCTAGAATGCTGGGAGGGGTGCTGGAAGTGTTGCTGGGAGGGATGCTGGGAGGGATGCTGGGAGTGATGCTGGGAGGGATGCTGGGAGGGATGCTGGGAGTGATGCTGGGAGGGATGCTGGGAGGGATGCTGGGAGGGATGCTGGGAGTGATGCTGGGAGTGATGCTGGGAGGGATGCTGGGAGGGATGCTGGGAGTGATGCTGGGAGGGATGCTGGGAGGGATGCTGGGAGGGATGCTGGGAGGGATGCTGGGAGGGATGCTGGGAGTGATGCTGGGAGTGATGCTTGGAGGGATGCTGGGAGTGATGCTGGGAGGGATGCTGTGAGTGATGCTGGAAGTGTTGCTGGGAGTGATGCTGGAAGGGATGCTGGGAGGGATGCTGGGAGTGATGCTGGGAGTGATGCTGGGAGGGATGCTGTGAGTGATGCTGTGAGGGATGCTGGGAGTGATGCTGGGAGTGATGCTGGGAGGGATGCTGGGAGTGATGCTGGGAGGGATGCTGGGAGTGATGCTGGGAGGGATGCTGGGAGTGATGCTGGGAGTGATGCTGGGAGTGATGCTGGGAGTGATGCTGGGAGTGATGCTGGGAGTGATGCTGGGAGTGATGCTGGGAGGGATGCTGGAAGTGTTGCTGGGAGTGATGCTGTTGTTTGGAAGGCCAATGTTAACCTTAAGAAGATATTCAAGATCTGCTAATCATACTTTTTTTTTTTTGCTTGGTCAAGTGAAATATCAATCCCGAGTTGTCTCCCATACTTCTCATAATTTTTAAATAAATAGGCAATTATTTCTTTTTTTTCACCATATTCAGTTGCAATTGGGCTGAAGACGAAACCTGTTGACAAAACCAACGCTAGATGTTCAACTTAAAAAGTAGTTTAAAGCTCATATTTGACTATAATAACATAATTGTTTTCATCATGATTCTTAATACACAAATGTATACAAACATTATTTTTATGAAGCTTCATTGAGAATTGGAAACTGACCTTAACCTTGGACAGCATAACACTCTGGATTTCCTCATCAACACAGGACTTACAAATTATGTGCCCAGCACTACAACTCACACATTTGTGCTCAACTCTTGGTGTTGAGCATGCACTACATTCCAGGACGTCGGAGTCTGTCAGAGCATCATACAATTATTTTAGCATATCCTCCTGGGCATATAGGTAATTCAGAGCCGAGTGCATGGTTCTATTGGACTCATATTCCTAAAACATCCTTTCGGCAGTGTATTTACACATTTTAGAAATGAAAGAAAGGTAGAGGAAATGAACTATAAGACAACTGTGGTATAGCTCAGGTTTTTTGAGCGAAGTGCCATTTAAAAAAGAAAAAAAAGGATTGCTCTTGGGAGCCACTTTCAGTGTCGAATTGTTTCAAATGAATTATAGATAAACAAACCAAAGAGCCGCAGCATTTCTTCATTCCTAGAGACGCCTGCTCCTTTTGAGCCACAGGTTGCTGAGCACTGCTCTAGCATGACCTGGATAGAAATAAGAATATTGCGCCACACTTCCACATTATAAAAATATGACTATCATTTAGCAGAGAGATCAGGCAGTCGCACAAGTTTTGCCGTTGGTTCTTTGCACCACTATAATTTGTAGTCTATTAGATATGGTCATAACTATAAGGGCAAATCCTGTTTTTTTTCTCCTTCATTTTTCTTCAGTTTTTAGGGCAGGGGTCCTTACATTTTTGCATCGATGCACCCTCTCTTTGATTTCAATACATTTCTCGCACACCAATATCGATTTCAAATCATATTTTTCCAACCCCCCACCCCTCCCACAGCCACCAACCATAAAATTTCAAATAAAATTACAAATAAACTTGAATATCTGTGTGTTACCGACCCACCGGACACTGCCTCTCACACACTATAGGGTTGCAGACACCTTCTGGCTTAAATCCCCTGATCATAGCTTTCTCATATCCCCTTATATTCTGATAAGGTAAAATTCAAAAGTTAAACTTCTTGCGAAAATCAAATATTTTGAAAGCATTTCACCATTTAAATGAATGAAAAATATATTTTAAAACTTGATTTGAAGGAAAGAGTGAATACAAAAAAAGGTTGGTTACATTTTTCTTTAAATTTAGAACAAGTGAGGATACCTGATTGAAGCGTATTGCTCTCTGTCATCAGAAAATGTTTATCCATGACAGCATTTTGACTCTGAGCAGATGATGTTTGTGAAACGTTATCAAAACAATGATTCGCTGCGTCTTTTAGGTGGCTGTTGCCATAATAATTCCCAGCCGTGTTTTGCCCCACTGAACTATCAGTATCGGGCATGGGGATGTCGATTTGTTTGAATTCTTGATTTGCTTCTTCTGTGGATAATTCTTGGACTGCTGGGATTGTGTCATTCGGTTTAGTACCACCTTGATCACGTATGCTTATGTTTTCTCGAGGAGATGAAGACATCTCTAATAACCCCATTGTTTCCAAAGATGAGCTACTCGTTGGCTCTGCTACCATTGGATCAGTTCCTTTCTGTGACTGGAATAACCAAGGAGATGTTTGGGATTGTGCATCAGCTTCAAGACTTTGGAGAGAACAAGAGTGTGCTAAGACACTGTTGGAATCTGCCGTCGTAGAAGTTGCTATCTCAGATGGACCAGGGTCATTGAACTTGGACATTAATTCTTGATGCAGCTTTCCAGCATCAAAATTTCTGACAGTGTTGGGGAAGGAGCCTACAGTTACTGGATCTCTGACATACATGTCATCAGTCAAATCTATGAAGTTGTTTTTCTTTTTTGAGCCGCTCCTTGGGTTTAACCATGTATTTACTTTCTTCTTTGGAGTCTTACAAGACTTACAAGGCACCAAGACAGGCCAGTCATCATCATTGGCCATTTCTGAATTTATCGTTTCAAGTTTTGCTTTCTTACTGGGAACACAGGGAGGAGATCCTAAAACAGTTTTACCATGAGAACGTTTTAGTGTCATTGAAGTAGTAGATTCAGATAGGGTTCTACTTGTTCCTAACTCCATGGACGTTTCACCACTACCTGTTTGTTTATCGGATATAGGACTGTTGGGGGAAGGGTTAGTTGTTGATGCAATTTTTGTTTGTTCATATGCACATGTTTCAGAATTTTTACTAGAAAATTTGGATTTAGAACTCTTTGCCGGATGCTTAAGAGAGCTCTTAAATTGAATCTTTTGTACAGGGGTCACGCTGTCATCCACTGATGAACTGTCACTTTCTGACATTCCATGTGACATTGTTGGTAAAGTTTGGTGTAGGTTATTCCAATTTCCTTTTCTCGATAAGACATTTTGATTTCTAAAATCTTCTTTCAATCTAATTTCTTTACATTGTAAGCAATTTGGGGTAACCTCGAATGGCAGTATGTCCTCGTAATCTTGTAATGAATTATTTTTATCGAAACGATTGAATAAACAATTCTTAGTTTCGTTGATGCCGCTTGTGCAGACTTTGAGATCACGTGGGGGCACCCTCCCTAAGGCAGTGGTCCATTTATTTCTATCCATGCTTGGGATTGATGAGCTGGGTTCCTTAAGGCTCTTATACACATCAGGTGAAGACTTTTGAGTGCTTGGTGGCAGGCTCACCCGCGAGTGCCCTGGGCGGTGCAATAGTGTGTCTTTGGTTGATTTTGGTGCACGTTGTCCTGTAGTTCATGAAACATTTAATTTTTATTTTCAAAATTGAGTCGCTAGAAAAATGAAAGAGAAAGCAATTGATATTTTATGTTTAAATCCTTTATAATAATCTCGCTTTTGTTCGTGCGTTCGTGTTTGTGGCAAAAAATATGACCCAAATCCCGTCATGCTATCGAGCTTAAACAGACCCTTTGCCGATGACAACGCATTTTTTCAAATTTTCAGCCCCCAGCCCGAAACCCTAAAACCAATTTATCATGTTTTTTCAAGGAGTGACGAATGAAATGCTTTGTCAAAGGGGTTCGTATCATGGTGCGGAGATTAATTGTGTAGCTGTTGCTATGTCAGTAGTATTTGCGACGTAATTGGGTGTGCAGTAAAAATAAAACGTGTTTTTGAGGAGGGAAATGGAGGAAGTATGGAACGTGTTTTCGTCAGAAGTTTACCCATTTACATAAACACTTCTCTGAAAAATGATAAATCCCGTACTATTACGTAAATGTAAACAAAATATGCATATAAGAGATTTATATTGATTTTTTTTCTTCTAAACTTTTTTTAGCTCCATATTTTCCTTGTCAATTAAGCGACGAAAAGGAAAAGGGGGTGGTGGTGGGGGGGGGGGGTTAAAAATAAATATAATAAAAAAAGAAGGAAAAAAATAATAACTTTATTGATTTCAATTTAAAAGTTTGTGACCTCAATTAAGCGACGAAAAGGAAAAAGGGGGTGGTGGTGGGGGGGGGGGTTAAAAATCAATATAATAAAAAAAGAATGAAAAAAATAATAACTTCATTGATTTCAATGTAAAAGTTTCTGACCTAATTCCAAATAGATAGCGACAGCCTGCTCTACAAGAATATCGTACGCTCTCCCGCCCGAAACACTGGCTGCGCGTTTCACGGCCTCTGCAACAGTCGTCAGTTCAGCCTCAGGGAAGACCTCCAGAAGAAGAACGGTGGCCTTGTAGATTTCATCTTGATCTTTTGAAAATTCGTCAGCCATTTTGTTGAATCTCGAGTGATTATTTTATGATGATTCACTCTCGACTGTTGATTGCAAAATAATGATGATAAATACTTAATGAACAGACTGGAAGCTGCATTGCAGGAGAAAACAAATATGAACATTCACATTTTTTAAAAATCATTTATATTATTTTTGCTTGTGGCTGGCTGGCTAGCACGATCTTCGGACGGCTAATAGACTCACTTTCCGTTAACCTATCGAGCTGAAACCTCGCACATAGACTCTTTGTCGATTGCAACACATTCTTTCCAATTTTAAGCCCCACCCCAACCCCCAAAAGATCCTGTTTTTTTTTCTGATTTTCAAAGGGACGATGAAGGTAATATGATAACACTGAATTCATTGCCAAAATTCCCCCTAACTGCGCTATATGAGATTCCATTTTTTTAAAATTATAAATATCGCAAGTGCGTTTGATGCGTAATATTTTCTTTTGTTTTTTCTGAAATAGTTGGTGAAATAAATCTGCGGTGTGAAAGCGGATGGGTCATTATATTATCAATATATTTCAGGGGCGGGAAAATAAATTAAGGTTACGTGCCTTGGGGGTGGGGGCACTCACTAAAAGGGATTATTATAAAGTGCTTTACTTATACTATATGCATTTTTTGTCAAATTTGTAGCCCCCCACCCACCCACGCATACACACACACACACACAATTCTCGATATTACATTTTATAAAGAATTATACGAAAAACTATTTTTTAAGGGTTGTTTAATTACTCACTAAGTTAATCTAAACATTGGAAATAACATTTTTTTCAATGCATCTGTTTTGTCTTTTTTGTATTTATTATGACAACTTAGACTTAAATAAAGTCTATAGAATTAATTATTTGGCATGCCTGCTATTCATCTCAGCTCTATTAATTTGTATTTAATAGTCTACAAGTAGTGTGATTATTTAATAGCAGCAACTGCTCAGTGGTTTGTTAATTATTTCCATATACTTATTTGGTAGTTGAACCTGGTATGAAAGTATAATAAAAAGGTCTGAATTGCTACCTACTACAGCATGTGTGTTAGATTTAGTTCAAGATACCATGAATTTTCTCCTCTCCAGTCAGAATTTTGCGTAAAGCCAGAAGAATTAACATAAAGTAAATTAGAACAGTGCCAAAAACAACTTAATTATATAAAATAGATGGGTAATCGCTATTGTGCTGATAGTGGAGTCAGTATAATGTTTGTTGATTATAACATAAACAAATGCGTTTGGTGGTGTAATGCAAGCCACCCCCGACCCCCTCCCAGTCTTTACAAGTTGAATTTTAGATTGATTGCCGTGTTACTCTAAATTGGCTATTCAATTCTAAAATCTAACTTTGTCAGATTGGATCAATTCAGACTGGGTCATAATTTAAACTGACCGGGACAACATAGCTAAACCTGGCCAATCCTGGTCAAACCGGGACTTGTGGTGAGCCGAAACAGAAAGAATCAGTAGGGTTGCCTTGAGTCCAGTTTTTAACCAGGCGGTCTGGTACTTCAGTAGGTTGTCCTGGAAAAATTAAAAAGAGATACTCGGTACCGCAAATATATCTATAATATACGTTACGCCCCACTGAACTGTCACGCATGTGCAAGCTACTTTGTTTGGAGCGTTGATTTATTATTAATTAATTTTTTTTTTCTGTGTAGAAAGTCCCAGTAACACATGGACTGTCGGAACGGTATCACAAGGTCTAGTACCACCTTGATCACTTGTGCTTTCATATTTGATGAAGGCCTCTCTAAATAGTCCAATTGTTTCCCAAGATGAGCTATGAGTTAGCTGGCTTCATTACGTTTGGAAAAGATCCTTTCAGTGATTGGAATGCACCAGGAGATATTATGGATTATACATCAACTTTAGGACTTAACGTATTACGTATTTGAGCTGCATTTACGTTGAACTGAATGAGATTTACTAGCACTGAGGCTAATTTATCATGGCTACATCCTGATGTGTTTATTGATTTAGCTGTGTTGAATTTATCTGCTAAAAAAAAAAAATTCCGAGGAATGAAATTGTTTGATGCTTCAGTGCTTCTGAAGATGAGTCTTTATATTAAATTAAATTGCCTTTCAAATGAGGCTGATGGGTTGGCTAGATTTCTCAAAAGTAACACATTGTATCTAGTTTGAAGAGAGCTGTTTTGAAGCTATAGTGCCTAAATTATGGAACAGTTTGCCTCAGTTCTGGGAGTGGAGGAGGTGGGGTGGTTGGGGGGGGGGGAATTAAAAATGATTTTAAAAATCATGAAAGAGACACTAAAGAATGTTCCTTTAAATAGATTCTATAAAGTCAGATCGAACTGAGTTATCAGTTATCAGTTGATATGGCAGTAAGTGTATGTGGAAAAGCTGTTGATGCCAATGATGGTGACTTTTCTGATGCTGTTTGCTTCGAGGACAAAATAATCGTGAGTGCGCTTTGGAGAGAAGATTGTGTTAAAACACTGTTTGAATCTGCCATAGTAACAATTGCTATTTAAAGATGGACCAGGGTCATTTACATTATTTCTTCTTGCAGTTTTGCAGCATAAGACTTTCTGTCAGGTTGTTGTTGTTTTTTTTTTGGGGGGGTGGGGGGGGGGTTGGGGTGGGGTGGGGGTAGAATACTGAATCTATGAAATCCATGTCTTCAGACATATCTATGAAGTGGATTTTCTTTTCTTTGCTCTGATTTCGGGCTAAGCCATTCTGGATTTTTTTTTCCTTTAAGTCGAAAAAGACTTACAAGGCACCAGGACGGGTCAATCATCAACATTGGCCATTTCTGAGATTTCAGTGTCAATGTTGTTGTTTTTTTTTTACTTGGAACACAGGAAGGAGATTCTAAACCAGTTTTACAATGAGAACGTTTCCTTGTGTGTGAAGTGGAAGCCTGAAAACTTGGTCCCGATGGTTTCTAAACCAATGGAGGTTGTTATTTAAAATTTACATTTTTTCTGTTCTTAATTACTTATACACCGATGTATGATTTTTATGTATCTAAGAGTTGAAATTCAAAACGTTTTAATTAAACAAGGAGCATGTTCCGCATTAAGATGGAGAGCGTGAAGGAGAGGAAGGAGAGGAGGAAATTAGAGAGTGAGAGAGGCGAGAAAGAGAGGCGTGCCGGTACAACGGAGCGATCAGGCGGGGCATGTTTGAATCAAGGTCTGAATGGGTCATTTTTGTTGTTTTTGTAAAACTCATTTTGCGACTGGAGTTGGCTGGAAATTGTTTATGGCATGGACAGAATGTATTTCTCGGACATGGTTCCTGTGGCCTCTACATGGAAACTAAATGTGATACACAAGCAATGTCGTCATCATCGCGTGAGAGAGAGGGAGAGAGAGAGAGAGAGGGAAATAGTGAGAGCCAGAGAGAAAGAGAGAGAGAAAGAGGTGGAGGGAGAGTAAATAATTATAGAGAGAACTTTGAAACTGAAAGACATCGGTTTGGCTGATTCTTATTGTTCTCCCCATGACGTCATTTGCGTGTTTATGAAATGTTTGTGCAGGAGTCATTCCCCTTTGTTTATTTTATTGTTTATTTTCATTGGAGGAAGTTCTGATGAAATGTTTTGTATTAAAATTTTAATAGGTTGATTAATTATAATTTTAAATTATCATTGGTTGGCTAATTATCATATTTTATTTGTGCCGCCATATAGCTAGGCTACATGTTGGCCTAATGCCGGCTGTTGTGCTCTATTCATTTGTGCGTATTATTTGCGGTGGAACCTGAAATAAAGTGTTTAAAAGTGTATTTCATGAAACTGTAAGTTGGGTTTTCATTATTTCTTTGTTTTATAATTATTTTTGGCCATTTCCTTTTTTTGGTTTTTGTTAATTTTCATAGTTTATGCCACAGCCACAGTGTGTAAATTCCATGTGTTTTTACTTGTGGCTTTGGGCTTCGGGTTAGGTTTAGGAATCGATTGTTTTCTTATTATATATTTTTTGTTAAATTGGGGAGGGGTCTAGGGAGGGGTCTCTCCTCCCCAGTCGTTTCACAGCGTGTTTTACACTACTTTTTTTGCCGCCAACTTGGTTGACATTTCACCTGACTTCACGTGGCGTGTCAACCAAGATGGCGACCATGATGGGAAACCCCGGGGAAATCTCTAATAATTTACCTCGTATTTATATTTAGAACACACGTGAAAATGCGACATTGACGATTAAACATTCTTTCCTTATAAACATGGTCCGCCATGGCAGTTTAAGTCTGGGGCTGCTTAATTACAGAGTTTCCAGATGGTATTCATAAATGGACATTAAAATGTGTGTGCAGTGTAAAAAAAAGTAAGAAGTATTGTCTCCCCGTTTAGTACATTTAAACACTATTTTTTTCCACTGCAGTATCCCATAACTTGCTAACATGCTATTATGTTCGTTTAGTAAATGACGTCAGCAAGCCGTCGAGCCAGAGCTCTTAATGCCAATCATTGTAAAATGTTAAGGCGAACTTTTCGCTCCCCTAAACAAACATACTTACATCCAAGTGGAGTCATCTTCTAGCCGCCCAAAACGGAAGTTCAGATTTTCAAGATCAAAACGTGCGTGCAACACAATTTTATAGTGCGTACTTTCGAACTGCTAAACGAAATAGCAGGAGGTCAAAAAAACATAAAAAAATTTAAAAAAAATTTAAAGTTTTACCCCCCCCCCCCCACCCCCAACCAAAAAAAAAATGAGAATCGAAATTAAATAGAGGAAAGGGGTACTTTTTTTCTGTCAACTCACTTTACTAGATTTTGAATGTAGCACATTAAGTTCCCAAAGCCAAATGTCCCACACTCAAAGTTCCCTTTACCACGCCACATGTGTGTGTGTGTTTGCGGTAACGCAATACACTTTTTCTGAATAGAGATAAAAAAAAAAACTTGGAATTGAAAAAAAAATAATAATGCTACCAACTACAAATAGAAAAGGCATTAAAACTGTTTTATCCTTGCATTAAGACTCACTAAAACTAGACAGCGACGAGGCCGTGACAGGCAGTTCAGGCTCATAACAGCAAGAACACAGTACAGGAACTGCTCATTGCCAAAGACAACCAGGGACCGAAACAAGCTCCCAAAACGAACAGTTGAGGCGACTTGACACATTTGCATCTATTACCTCATGCATTCCAACCCCCAGTTCCTGACACCCTCGTTGAGTAGCCCTTGCAACCAGTGAAATATCCTACTCAATATCAGGCACAGAAACATAAAAAATGCCCTCTACATAAATAGGAACCAGAATAATCAATGCATTGATCGTGGGCCTTTAAGATATAGAAGAAGAAAACTAATAAATAAACTAAGTATACTAATATTTCTTAGTTGTATCGGAAAAGCTCAATTTATTTCTTAAAAGTGTCTCAATACTTCATTAAAATGTTATTTTTTTAAATGTATAAAATTTTGTTTCATTACGTCATAAAATAAGTTGACATCTTCTCAAAGTTTATTTTGCAATAGATTCAGAGCGTTAGTTTCAACAAGAGCGTGTGTCCATCAAAGTTGATTTAGCAATAGATTCAGAGCGTTAGTTTCAACAAGAGCGTGTGTCCATCAAAGTTGATTTAGCAATAGATTCAGAGCGTTAGTTTCAACAAGAGCGTGTGTCCATCAAAGTTGATTTAGCAATAGATTCAGAGCGTTAGTTTCAACAAGAGCGTGTGTCCATGTGTCAGTGACTTCAAACCATCATGACTGCAGAAGGTGCCGATCTTTGGGTCAACTTTGGCGCCACAGGCAGTGTTAAATTTTGACGCCCCTTCCTCTTACACATTTTCAGGTTGACATTTTTTTTTTGAAAATAAGAGCAACGCCCATGTCGTTTGAAGAGAAAAAATGTTATTTTGATAGTCTAAAATGTATTGCTGTTATAATTCTGTATGCAAAATTGCTGGGGACATTTTGATTACTTAATATCATTGTACACAATTTACATCAGGTCTTGGAATAATCTTTTCAATAACTCTCTCAGCATCCTACTTGCATGCCAACTAATTAATATCACCCCCATCAAAAGTGTAGAGAATATCTAAGTAAACAAATTCAGAATATTCCAAGGATATGAGACAAAGGGAAAACAGAGAAACAACATAAAATTAACCAATGGATTCATATTTTTAAAAATTTTTATTAACATTTCAATTATATCACATATTTGATAGAGAGGCAAGTGACTGATTATAATATTTATAGGCAAATACCATCATGGCATTTTAAAAAGAAAACAATTATTTTATTTTTACAAATTCAAGATCCCAAGTAGGTAGCATGCTTTAATAAATTAGTTTCACAGAGGGTATTTAATCACCGATGGGATTGAAAAAGCACAGGTAAAAAATCAGATGTTTCAATAAGAACTGTATTTATTCGCACCATCTGAGACAGGGGGATGTTTGCAAAGACCCAATAATATTTTAACTGACTTGAATGGACATAACATCTTGCAATGATTTTATGAACTGAGGAAAAAGTTGAATCCATTTAGGGCCAGCCAAAACAATCAGCATGAACTCCCCCAATGATATCAATATCAATAGTTAGTGATATGAGAATATTCCATCACAACATGCACACACATTTATAATTATGTTTTAAGGCTCATGACTTAGGAGTGGAGTATATTAATTTAATGCTTTTGGTGCCTTTGGTATGTCAGAGAGTTCCCGATTTAAAAAGATTGTGACAGGTACAGCTGACTAAATGTTATTTTTTTGGTTTTTTAAATTAATGAACTGCTATTCTGAACACACAAAATTTTAATATATATAGACTAAAGCGCTAACGGTGAAATGATATTATATACATTCATCGATGTGTCTTAGCACAATCAACCAATACATTCATCGATGTGTCTTAGCACAATCAACCAATGTGTCTGTTAAAACAAAGGGAGATTTGATGTCATTGTCTACAAACTCAGTAGCTTTACTTGTCGAAACATGAGAGTGATATATTAAGCAGCTGCCAGTAAAGGTCATATGAAATATATGAGTTAAATATTGCACATAGTAATATATACATATATATTAATATATTTAAAATATTATAATGAAAAGAAAAAAAAATGGATGGGATCCTAATCAAACACCAGAGAATCGCTTATCCTAAAAAGAAAACAATTCTGCCATTAAAACGGAAGCTGTAAAACTGGCCTAGCAGAAGTCAAACAAGCAAAACCTAAATCTAATTATTTAATGTATTTTCAACCTAACTAAAGTTTATTTAATGGCACAAAAACCAACTACTTCTTCTTTACTATTAATACATTTTTAATGGAATTGTACATTATTTTAAAGGGACATGAGGTTTATACAATTATTAAGATGATTATTGATGTCATGTGATAAATTTGAGGAATAGTAATGTGTTTATTTTTTTTTATTTTTTAAAGAATGAGCATTTACACCTTTATGTTATTCAGTATATATTAACAAAAAAAACCATGAGATAATAATTATCAATACTGTATTAGCTGTCTGATTAAATCTATACAATTTTTTTAAAAAGGGGAATGTAGCTTTCATGGGTCTCGTTCAATTTTTTCCCACTTCCAAAAATTGGAGAACCGTTCCATTTACCATATCTGGATCAGATCCGTAGGTGTTGAGGTTATGTGACGTTTATTTTATGAGTATGCATATCTGGTAACGATAAGTTGTCTATGGTTCAGTGGTAATGACTTAAATAATATAATGTATAAGTAATTTTTTTTCCTAACAAAATTGGCCTCATCCTTTAAGTGCTTTGATTTTTTTAATCATTAAAAGAAAATCTAATACATCTAAATCCCTTTTAAAAATGGGCATGTGTTATCAAATTAAATAAAGATTTTTCTTTCACACATAAAATAAACACTTCTAAATAGATGTAAAATTGTACAGGCTACTAAAAAAAATATAGGTAAATAACTACAGAAAAAAAACTCTCTTGTATATGTCCTAAAGCTCCAGGATATTTGTTATCATATATTAATTTTAGTTTATTTTAGGAAGAGAGAAATAAATAGGAATTTGGGACCAGCAGAGAAGAATTTGTGACAGGCAGAGAATATCCAAAAGATCAAGGATAAAATTTAGCAGGATATCTATCTGTAATAAGGGATAAGTGGATCAATCCTAACAAATAAGTAAAAAAGAAAAAAAAAAAAAAAAAAAAAAAAAAAAAAAAAAAAAAAAAAAAAAAAAAAAAAAAAAAAAAAAAAAAAAAAAAAAAAAAAAAAAAAAAAAAAAAAAAAAAAAAAAAAAAAGATATTAATATCTATCAGCTAGTGACATCATCTCATTCTTGACAAGGTGTGTTGTCGTAATTACTCAGAAAGTGGTGGTAACCATTCATTTTCAACAAGTGGCCATCTAGTGAGGTGACAAGGTGGCCATAAAGTGAGGTGACAAGGTGGCCATCAAGTGAGGTGACAAGGTGGCCATCAAGTGAGGTGACAAGGTGGCCATCAAGTGAGGTGACAAGGTGGCCATCAAGTGAGGTTGACAAGATGGTTATCAAGTGAGGTGACAAGGTGGCCATCAAGTGAGGTGACAAGGTGGCCATTCATAATTTAAATAACACAACAAGGAGGCTTATTTTAATGTCTTTTAACCCCAGTGAGTGAGAATTATACTAATGGCTTAGCCCCATTGCTCTTCCTGACCACAAATTTTTATCAAGTAGCGAACCATGTGAATAAGAAATATGTAAAAACTAATTAAACTGAAGCAGAATTTCCGGGTAGCACTGGGAGTTATCAAAGACTGTGTACATTGTTGGCGATGCTAAGTTGTCCACGCAGCTGTCAAACATCCGCCCCGAGCGGTTGTGAGGGGGCCGTGTCAGGTTTTGATTTCCACAAGTAGACTGACCGCACAGGACTCTGGCAACGAACATATGTTTTTTGGCACAAGCAAACTTCTGTGAGTAGGCTGACGTCTTGCTGAAATAAATACCTGTGGACATAAATGGGTAGCATTAAAAAAAAAATAAAAATCCCATTCACAGGTTCATTACTTGATGAATGCAAATTAGCTCAGGTGAAAAGTTGAAATTTCTTATTCAATACTAAATCACTTAGTTTTGAATGTTACTGTCTGATTTTTAATTTTATTTCGACATTGTAGTGGAATTTTAAAATCTGATAGTGGATAAATCTTCTATTAAAAACTAGTTAACTACTGACTCTTTAAAAATATTTTTTTTAGGATTTTTCTGTTCCAAATTTTTTTTTTTTTAAATTGATATTTTAAATTTTGATAGCCTTTAAATGTATAACCCAGTTTGAGTGTGGAGTAAAAATGTGTAAAAAAAGACTTTCTTTTAACAACAAAGCAGCAAGCAGGCTAAAACTTAATTTTTGCTCTTGGAGATGTTTTTTGTCAAGTTTTAAATAACAATACCTCTCCCCAGGGCACTTCCATTTGCAGCCTGCACCCTGAAGTCAAATCCCTCAGAGCAAATAACTTTGATATTGGTAAATTTGGTGCCGTGGAACAAAGCCTTCTCTTGGATGTTTTCAAGTCCCAATTCTTCAACCATGTGTTTGCGTTTCCTGTTTAGAGAAGTACAATTTTAATTATAACTTTTTTTTTTAAATTTTGATACTGCAAATAATGGCACAATGTTCCATTAAGATATAAAAAAAATTTAACTGTTGTAACAATAAATTCTATTAAATTAAACTTTTGTAACAATGAATTCCATTAAATTAAACTGTTGTAACAATGAAGGCTATTAAATTTAATTGTTTTAAAATGAAGTTCATTAATTTAACTGTTGTAACAATGAAGTTCATTAATTAAAAGTTGTAAAAAGGAATTCAATTAAAATAAACTGTTGTAACAATGAAGTTCATTAATTAAAAGTTGTAAAAATGAATTCAATTTAAAATAAACTGTTGTAACAATGAAGTTCATTAATTAAAATGTTGTAACAATTAAGTCCATTAATTACATTGTTGCAACAATGAAGAAATTTTGGGTCAAGTGTAATGTATTACTCCAACGACTGATGGGTCATGGACTTACACAACATATCTCTCCCATAGCCTCCTGTTCTGTATTCGCCATATTGCTACAATTCTCATCTTAGGATTGGTCTTCTGGAAGTATTCATTCCAACCTAATCCTTCAAGGCTGGTTGGATCAATTTTCACCTGCACAGAGTCAGAATGGGTTAGCATGAGAACTGATAAAAATCATTAAGGGACATTCACAAGGCTGTGGAAAATTATGCAACATCTGATTTTAGTTATAATTTGAATTATATGATGCAGAAAATTATGGTGATCATGAAAGTAAAATAATAATTGTGAAATGATTATGACCTTGAACTTTTAACAGTAAAAGCAACTGTGCTCCTGTTTATATTTCATTAACCTCAGAGCCACACTGACTTGTGGGTCATTTTTATCATCTAAAAAAGATTTTCAGACACATCAAACATTATTCTTTCATTTTGGAAATTATAAAGCTGTTGGGTTTATAAAATTTTAAAAAAAAAATATTTTAAAATTCAGTGGTGAAATACATATTTCTTATATATAACCTATTAAATTCATTAGTGCCCCATTTTCCACTACTTGCACTATTAGGACTTGAACTGCTAGCTAGTAAGCTCAACTATTGTATGTATCACTGCTAAGAATAATGCCAACAAACCTATTTCCAAGCTCACTTTCAAATAATTCAAATTAATTAGGTTTTTGTTTTGCAGGGCCAACATTTGTGTTCTACGCATTAATTTTAACTTTAAAAAAAGCTCCTTCAAAATTTCAGCTTTTTTAAAACTTAAAAATATTTTTAACATGTAAGATATTTACCTTAGTCTTCTATAAACAGGAAGTAAATCTAATTTGTTAGAGTTATTCCACTTAACAAATAAAAAACAATAAAAGTTCTGATTTATAATGTTAAATTTTAAAGAGCTAATGATCTGACGTTATGACAATTCTTGGGTTAAATAAGGTATGGCAACTGTAAGAAAGAAAAAGAATGAGATTCGAAGGAGCTGACTCTGCAAACCAAAGTCAGAATTTTCAACACAAATGTCAAAACAGTCCTACTCTATGGCGCTGAGACTTGGATAATATCAGTGAGCATTACGCAGAAAGTACAGACCTTCACAAAAATTCTTCTTAGAAAGATCCTAAACATCATATGGCCAAACATCATCACCAACAAACACTTATTGGAAAGGACACACCAAGAGTCTACTGCTGTAGACATCATAAGGAAATGATGACGGTGGACAGGGCATACTCTTCGTAAACCAACAGTAATATCTCCAGACAATCTCTAACATTGCTTCCAGAGCAAAAAAGGAAGAAAGGAAGGCCATGAAGACGCAAACAAGAGTTAGATACCTTGAAGGCATTGGAAAGGAAAGCACAGGACTAGAGGCAGATACCTTGAAGCCATTTGAAAGGAAAGCACAGGAATAAAAGCCATTGGAAAGAAAAGAACATGACTAGAGGCAGATACCTGGAAGACATTGGAAAGGAAAGCACGGGACTAGAGGCAGATACCTGGAAAGCCATTGGAAAGGAAAGCACAGGACTAGAGGCAGATACCTGGAAGCCATTGGAAAGGAAAGCACAGTGCTAGAGGCAGATAGCTGGAAGCCATTGGAAAGGAAAGCACAGGACCGAGATGAGGGGAAAATTCTTGTAGATGACCTATGCCCCAGTCGCGGTAAAAGGCATAGGACTGTGCCTGGTTTACAATATGTCACTGCTCAGTTTATATGGGAATCAATTTTAAACATAAATACTAGATAAGATGAATTCACCACCGTCAATAAAAGATTAACAGGATACATCTGGTGCAGAAGACTCACCTGAAAATCATTGCTGGACATATCTGTTTTCTCCCAGTTGAGTGGTGAATCTTTAATGTCATTGAAACATTCTGTACCCACAGAGCTCAGCAGGTAGCAGCCCAGGTGATCATCCTTGTTTGTCCATTTGGACTTGCAGTAACGACAGCATCTCTTAAAAGAAAGTGAAATAAAACAACAAGGCATAAGTTTTCAACATGAAACCTGATAGGCTGACCAAAACAAACTGTTTCTAGCTGGCAGTTTTCCTAAGGGTATTTCTAGTGGCAATATCTACAAGATAGACATGGGTCTGACTTTTAAATGTTCACATCTTGACTATTACATCTACCCCAACTTTTCATAATTTGGGCTCAACTGTTTAGCATGCAACAAATCAGTAACTGTGTCATGATCATGAAAGCAAATAAGAAACACCAGTCATTTGCTATGTGCTGAATCATCCAAAACAATTTTTTTCATATCAAATTGTTAACTGTTAAATTGGAGGATTTGTCCTTTGACATAATCCAAGTATAGCTGTAACCAGTGAATCATAATTATACACACTAAATAAACCAGCTCCAGGACTTAAGAGAATAACAAAATACTCTCCACTATATGACAAAATATATTTTTTGTGTGTGGGGTGATTGAATGAATGAGAATAGTTTAAAAACTTGATACTCACCACCGTGCAATTGTTATTGCCACACACAAACTCATGCTGTTCATTTTCCATTAGTCCTGAGTATTTACAGGAAGGACAGCTTGAAATATGAGAGACAGAAATTTTTAATAAAGAAAGTAGACAGGCAATGTGATTTAATGAAAAAAAATATCATTATTATTTTAGAAACTTTCAAGATATATCCCAGGTACTAATCAGGCACATTAATCCACCATAATCAGGCAAATTAATCCAACATAATCAGGCAAATTAATCCAACATAATCAGGCAAATTAATCTACCATAATTTAGACTCCATTTTATGAAGTGATGTTTTTTCTCGTTCTGTAATTTTAATAGCGCCTGTAAAATGTTAAAATTTATATATCCTGTTCTGTCAAAGAGAATTTAAAGTTTTTGAATATATGTCCTAATTTACCCCTACCTCTTTTATAGCCTGTATGTTAACCTAGTTTTTATTCACCAAAAAGCAGTGGTATTCAATCTTACTCCTTCTTCCTTGTTTTGATATTACTGTCTCAGATTAAATGCCCAATGCCAATCCATTTTACCCAACCTTCCCTTGATTGGGAAATGGGTTGTTCATGTTATTATTTGTTCTAAAGAATGCTATCATGGGATGCAATTTCTAGAATTTTTTTCTGCAGGTTTCCAACTTTCTGCCTATAAATAAGCCAGCACCTTTCCCAACTGACAGAGATATTTTGCTTTTTTTCCTATACATTCACAAAACACAATATAGTGACAAGATCGTTACTTTATGTGTGTGTTATAAGATGTTTATTTTTCAAAGAATGCACTTTTTCACTTTTCTGTGCTGTAAGATGATATAGTTTTTATTTATGTCTACTTTTATTTTTGGATTCTTTATATAAAGTTAATAGTATTATTAAATTGAATATCAAAGATTAAAATCCATGCTCATGTTTAGAGGCACCACCTTTGACCAATATTCAACATGAGATCAGCTGCTGCCTTAAAAGCTTAATTTTCATTCCTGTCAGCACATCCACAAACACAATTCTGTCATACTCCCCAATGAGAGACACTTAGCCAGGGGCACAACTCACCTGACCAATCCTTCCATATTCTTGATGACATTGGAAGAAGCCTCCATTTCTTTCTGTTGAATGTTCTTCCTGAGCAGGCCTAGAACAAACGCATCTACAGTAAGCTCCAAAGATGCTGAGAAAATGGTAAAAGTTTTCATAAAATTATTGGTTTAAACAAGGTTGCTATTAAAAAATGAAAACAGGTTTAAAACCAGATGCCTTAAGCTGACAACAAGTTGGCTTTAAAAAAATGATATTATTGTTAACATCCCTATTAAATACATTGTCTTTCATTAAAAAGAAAAACAGAAGTTGATTGATTTAAAACACATTGCTCATTAACAGAATTCAGTAACCAATTGTTCCTTCAGATGTGCATTTAACAAATAATGTAAAATTAAGAAAATAAAATCAAATGTTTTACATACTCAAAAAAAGTTGCTCTTGACAGGACTTCGCTACGCACAACAAACCCATCTGCAGAATAAAATTTTTTTTTATTATTAAATTAAAAAAAAATAATGTTATAGATTACAGCATGAAACATTGATTCAGATTGATACATTAGATCAGGCCTGAACAACACAAGGCCCACGGGCCCCAAGTAGCCCACCAGCACCCACTTGGCGGCCCGCGAAGTATCCGAATATTCTTTATTATTATTTTCTTAATAGCTTTCCCCCTGTCCTATCATTTTTCAGCCCGCACAAGCTTTTCATAAAGTATTATGGCCCGCACAAATTTTTCATAAATTATTATGGCCCGCCTTACATTTTGAGTTGTGCAGGCCTGCATTAGATTATAGAAAAATGTGTTGTTTTTGAGTCATTGGATGTGAGGTTGAAGTTAATGAATTAAAACAATATTTTACATTGATGTAAATGGAATAAAAAAAATAGCTAGTCTTTAGGCATAATATAATAAGTTTTTATTTGCAAAAAGTTAGCAAATTTAATGATCTTAAAAATAAGGGGCCAGAGCTTCACTACTAACCAATGGAGTGTTCTGGAATGAATAAAAAGATGCTAGAATGCTGGGAGTGATGCTATTGTTTGGATGACCAATCATTTACCTTGATAACATCAGAAGGTATTCAAGGTCTGGTTATCATACTGGTTTGCATACTCACTTATGCCCTTTACCCCGACTGGGGCACAGGCTGTCTAAAAAGAGTTTTCCATTCATCTCGTTCCAATGCTTTCCTTTCCAGTTGCTTCCAGGTTATCCCATACTTTGTGTGTCTGCCTCTAGCTCACATCTCCACGTATTCTTTGGCTTTCCTCACTCCCATTTCACTTGTAGATTCCATGTTAGGGTTTATCTGAAGATGTTATCTGGGTGTTTACAAAGAGTTTGTCCAATCCACCTCCATCATTTCCTTGTGATGTCTTAGGCAATAGGTTCTTGGTATGTTGTCTCCACTAGGTCTCTGTTGTGATGATGTTTGTCCATTTTATGTTCAGGACCTTCCTCAGAAGTCTGTGAGGGTTGTACTTTCTGCTTAATGCTTTCTGAAGTTTTGGCTCCACTGATTTGATATTTGTGTTGAAAATTCTCACTAATTAAGTGAAATACCTGTACAAAGTTATCTCTTTCCTTTAACTTCTCATTATTTTTCTTAAGTAGACAATCACATTTTCATATAAAAATGAAGCCTTATTAGTAGCCATAGAGATGAGCACCAAACTTTTGAACAAAACCAATATTAGTTTTTTCAGCTTAACAAGTAGTTAAAACAACAAATTTGATGATAACGAACACAAAGGCTCCAATTTTGTGCCCGTCATTCTGATTTCTTATTACTAAATCAATATTTCTGTGTGAGAGTAATACTGAATGAAGCTTCTGGTACTTAAGAATTGGAAACTGACCTTTTGCTTGGACAGCATAACACTCTGGATCTCCTCCTCAACACAGGACTTACAAATGACGTGCCCAGCACTACAACTCACACATTTGTGCAGAGCACTGGATGTTGAGCATGCACTACATTCCAGGATGCCAGAATCTGACAAAGTAATCAAAAATTATTTATTTTAGCATATCCCTTAAGCATGTGGGAACCAGTAATTCAGAGCTGTGCAAAGGGTTTTGTTGACCTCATTCTCCCAAATATATTTTTGGCAGTGTATTTAAAGATAAATTTAAGTTACAGGATTGAACAAACACGGCATGCCATAGCATAAGGTGTCAAATACCTTTTTGGTGAGATCAGCTGTTTAAAAAAAAAATCTCTTGAGAAAATACTTTTGGAGCCACTGTCAGGGGCGAATTGCAAGGCATTTTAGATTAGTTAACAAAAGAGACACATTTATTCATTCAAAGAGACAGATGCTGCTCTGGAGCCACAGGTTGCTGGAAGATGGTATAGCATGATACAAGGAAGTGTATAATTATTATTTATTAGCTCGATTAGATAGTTGGCAACAATCTGACCATATTGGACCTATTGCATGGCGGCAATTTGAGGGCTTTTAGATGTGGTCACTTTTAATCTTTATATTGGTAAGCTTTTAAAAATTGCTTCATTTTGTTTATCCTATTCTTTGAGATCAAGTGCTGCCCCATATCCCTAAACAATATCATGTGAACAATTATCTTCAACATTCTTTTATTGTAAATTATTATGTTAGCCATATGATGTTGTAATCTAATTTGCACAAATTATTAAGTTTTTAACATCTGTAAATGTCTAGAGCAGTGATTCTCAACCTTTTATTGTTCACTATCCTATGTATTGATTTTCCCAGAGACACTAACATATAAGTTGGCAAACTGATGTACACTGCAAAAATGGGAGCTTTGTAATCTTGCAGTCCTAACGCCAAATTATCAGGTCTATGGCACATTAAAAGTTGATTTTTTAAATCGTTTCACACCCGTTAATGGTGGTATTGTGAAGTTAATTTAAATTCTAGAATACTAATTATCTTTCTCTTAATAAAAATGTTTATCTATTGAAATTTTCAAAATTACTTCCAGTAGCAATATCAATAAGTATCAGATTTTTTGTGGCACACCTAGCTAATTGCTCAGAACTCTACTGTGCCGCAGCACACCAGTTGATAACCAATGGTCTAGAGTTGCAGTTACAATATATATATCAAACTATCAAAAAACTTAAATAAGTAAAATTATTTAAAAAACAATGATATTTTCAAGGAAAGAATATTTCCTATTTTACATTTCATAAAATTAACTTGTGCTTCTTAAAGAAAAGTTCCCTCTTCAAAAATAAACTACTCACCATGTAAAAATGTGTTGCCATCTGCTTCAACATCATCTGTTGCTTTTAGCACCAACCTGGTGTCAGTACAGGTTATATCTTCATCTGTATCCATGTTGTTGGTCACTCTGTAATTGCTGTATCCAGTGGCACCATCCTCCTATCCAAACCAAAACACCAACAATGAGGAGAAAAGAGAACACAGTGGTCAGCAGAAATATTTAAAATAAGATTTTTTAATAAATGTTTAAAACTTTAGATCATCTTTCCCGCATTTAGTCGTATTAAACATATTTGTGAAACACAAGTTAAGCTAAACGGATTTCCTGTTATTTAAATTTGTGGTACATCAGTCAATTGGAATACAATCGAGAAAAGAAAAAAAATTCTTTAAAAGTCTTATCCTCAAACTTCAATTATATAAGGCAAAGGCATGCCTTGAGTTTCAAGTCCAGGAATATTAGCAGTTATTAAGTTCATTCAAATTTTCTGCTCTGCCGCATTGAAATTCATCAGAATTCGTGCTGTTTTTTTAAAACTTTACTCACCTTCTTGACACTTTTTGATGGTACCGAGGAGGAGGCAGTGGAATCAACTTCCATGCTGGCAGATTCATATGACAAAACCCTGTCTGTAGATGCTCCATGGTTATCCACTGCCAAGGACAAACTTGGAAGTTGTTTTGGACTATGTGAAAGACTGGTAGCTTTGTGTAGAACTGGAGATGGTGGACTCACAGGCTTATCCTTCCCAAATGGGAAGGTGTTTAGTAAGCCTTTGCTGTTTGAGGTACTGGGTCGGAGAACGGGCCATGCTATGCTGGTACTCTTTGCCTTGACTATTGGGTATGAGAAAATTTAACATAAGAAGTTTAATATGGTGAATAATTAACTTTAAAAAAATAGCTTGTCATTGTATATGGATTTTTTAAAAAAAAAGGCTGTTAAGTCTAATATTTAAATTCAAATATTTATACTTAAACTTCTTGAATTGCCACATGCAGGCAGTGGGTCACATATTGTTCATCTATGTATTCAAAAGTTTTCAACAAATCATAATGGATAAGTTATAGACGTGGCCGCCCCACCCATTGCCTGGGCCTGAGGGAGGACAAAGCTTAATAATATTGTCCCAGAGACTTAAAATAAAAAATAATTCAAATATTTATTCACACTAATGCCAGTCACCTTCTGCCAGAGCGTTCAACAAAGTTTTTATTTTCCTGGGAAATATTTTGTTTTGAATCTTCACAAAAAATCAAAACAAAGTGTAGCAGAAGTAGAAAGTGTCATTTCTCTCTCTTTTTAATCATACACCTAACAAATTTGTTAAAATTTAATTAATGCCAATAAATAATTCCTTCGAGAATAGTTAAGTTGAAGATTCCATTTTAGCCCTTAAAGACTTTCCACCTCAAAATTATAGCACATTTTTGAAAATGTTTTTGGATGAATAATGTTAAAAATCTCCTTTGAGTAAGCATAAATTATATAGCCAATTTGCTTTGATATTGTTAGAGACTTGCAGAAAAAAAAGATAAAATTAGACAATAAAATTTTTTGAAAGCAATTCATCAAGTAACATAATGGAAATACTTATGTTTTTTAAAACTAAACTTGAAAAAAAAAAAAAGAGGATTGATTAAAAAAGTTAGTTAAATTTTTCAAATGAGAACTACAAAAAAAATAATATATATATATACCTGGTCGAAGTGAATCGCTTTCTGTCATCAGGAAAAGTTTATTCATAGTACTCATGACAGCATTTAGACTCTGAGCAGAGAAAGTTTGTGACATTTTACCATAACAATTATTTGCTATGCTTTTCAGATGCCTACTGCCAAAATAGTTCCCAGCCGTGTTTTGCCCCATTGAAACATCAGGCATGGGGATGTTGATTTGTTTGGATTCCTGATTTGCTATTTCTGTGGATGGAAGATCCAGTAATCCTTGGACTGCTGGGATTGTGTCATAAGGTTTAGTGCCACCTTGATCACATATGCTTATATTTGCTCCTGGCAATGAAGACATCTCTAATATACCAATAGTTGCACAAGATGAGCCATTTGCTGTCTTCGCTTCTTTTGAGTTAGTTCTATTCTCTGACTGGAATGAACCAGGAGATATATGGGATTGTCCATCAATTTCATAACTTGATGGAGTTACAAACTGAGCTGCATTTATGTTGAACTGGTTTAGAGTTACTGGCATTGAGGTTGATTGCTCATGGCTACTTCCTGATGTAGATTGTTGTGATGTTTCAGCTGTGCTCTGAGATTTGTCTGGTAAAAAAGGTGCATAGAAGGAAGTTATTTGTTGTATCACTACCTCTGAAGCTAAGTCTTGTATTAATTCCCCTTCAAATGATTCTGGTGGTAGGAGTACAGCATTTGAAGGGGTGGCCCTCAGCTGCTTAGATGTTTTAGGAGCGATGGCCCTCAGTTGTTGAGGTGTTCCTGCAGTGGAAGCCCTCATCTTTTGAGCTACTGTTCCTGGAGTGGGGGTCCTCTTTTTTTTAGCTGTTCCTAGGGTGGGGGCCATCTTTTGTTGAGCTGTTTCTGGAGGTGGGGCTACCATTCGTTGATCTGTTTCTGTAGTTAGTGCCCTAATTTGTTGAACTGCCCCAGAAGTGGAGTTTCTTGCTTGTTGAGCTGTTCCTGGAGTTAGTGACATCATTTGTTGAGGTATTCCTGGAGTTAGTGTCATAATTTGTTGAGCTATTCCTGAAGTTAGTGGCCTAATTTGTTGAGCTGTTCCTTGAGTTAGTGATATAATTTGTTGCGCTGTTCCTGGAGTTTGTGTCATAATTTGTTGAGCTATTCCTGAAGTTAGTGGCCTAATTTGTTGAGCTGTTCCTGGAGTTAGTGCTCTAATTTGTTGAGCTGTTCCTGGAGTTAGTGCTCTAATTTGTTGAGCTGTTCCTGGAGTTAGTGCCCTTATTTTTTTAGCTGTTTCTGGAGTTAGTAGCCTAATTTGTTGAGCTGTTCCTGGAGTTAGTGACATCATTTGTTGAGCTGTTCCTGGAGTTAGTGCCCTAATTTGTTGAGCTGTTCCTGGAGTTAGCATCCTAATTTGTTGAGCTGTTCCTGCAGTGAGTACCCTAATTTGTTGAGCTGTTCCTGCAGTGAGTACCCTAATTTGTTGAGCTGTTCCTGGAGTTAGTGACATAATTTTTAGAGCTGTCCCTGAAGTGGAGCTTCTTGCTTGTTGAGCTAATCCTGGAAATAAAACTTTCAATTGTGTTGTTCCGACAGAAGTGATGGGCCTTACTTGTTGAGATCCAATTTTCGGAGTGGCCAACGTCAGCTGTGAGACGGCTCCTTGAGCATGGAACCTCTGTGGTGAAGCTGTCCCTTGAGAATTTACCCTTAATAGTTGGACAGTTCCTGGATCGTTGGCACTTAGCTGTTGGACCGCTGAAAGAGGGCTGACCCCAATCTGTGAAACTGCTACTGAACTCTGAGTTATTGTACCGGCCGAATGGCCAGGTTTATGAACAAATGACTCAATGCTCTTTGAGGTAATTGAAGATGTGAGAGGTGATTTTGTAACATTGTCTTTGTCTGCAGTTTCAGTAGTTTGGGGGGAGCCAGGGAGATGTGAGAACAGATGATGGTCAGGGGTGGCTGGATTCCTCAAGAGTAAAGCAGAGCATCCTGGTGGTAAGGCAATGAGTGGATGCGGTACACCTGGGGATGCAGAGGATGGTGGAGGATCTGAAGTTATCCGCTTTGGGGACAAACTATTCTTGAGTGCACTCTGGAGAGAAGAAGAGTTTTCTGAAACACTGTTGTAATCTGCCGTCGTAGAAGTTTGTACCACAGATGGACCAGGGTCATTGAGTTTGGACATTAATTCTTGCTGCAGTTTTCCAAAATCAGGCTTTCTGTCAGTGTTGGGGGAGGACCATGCAGTTATTGAATCTGTGACATCCATGTCATCAGTCAAATCTATGAAGTTGCTTTTCTTCTCAGAGTCGTTTTTTGGGTTTAAGAAAGTCTGGACTTTTTTCCTTGGGGTCGAAAAGGTTTTACAAGGCACCAAGACAGGCCACTCATCATCAATGGACATTTCGGAACTTTTAGTTTCAAGATTTGCTTTCTTCCTGGGAACACATGGCGGAGATCCAGAATCAGCTCTAACATAAGAACGTTTCCCCGGGTTTGAAGTAGAGGTTTCAGACATGGTCCTACTTATTTCTAAATCCATTGAAGTTTCACCACTACCTGTTTGAGTATTAGATGTAGAACTGCTGGGGGAAGGGTTAATAGTTGATGCAATATTTTCTTGTGCATCTGAACATGTTTCAGATTTGTTACTAGAAAGACTGGATTTAGAACTCTTTGCTGGATGCTTAAGAGAGCTCTTAAGTTGAATATTTTGTACAGGGGCCATGTTGTCATCCACTGATGAACTGTCACTTTCTAACATTCCATGTGACATTGTTGGTAAAGTTTGGAGTAAATTATTCAAATTTTCTTGTCTCGATAAGTCATTTTCATCACTGATATCTTCTTTCAATCTATTTTCTTTACTTTGTACAAAATTTGGATCAACCTCAAATGGCAGTATGTCCTCATAATCTTGTAATGAATTATTTCTATTGACACCAGTGAATAAACCATGCTTATTTTCATTCAGATTGCTGCTGCAGTCGTTAAGTTTATGAGGAAGCACTTTCCCTTTGTCATTGGTATATTGATTTCTATCAATACTTAAGACTGATGAGTTGGGCTCAATACAGTTCTTATCCCCATCAGGTGAAGATCGTTGAGTGCTTGGTGGCAGGCTCACACCTGAGTGCCCTGGATGGGGCAATATTGTGTCATCAGTAGATTTTGATGCACCATGTTCTGTAGTTAATGAAACAGATTTTGAAGGTGTAAAAGTGATTCCATCACCATGTGATGATGACGATGATGAGTCGGTCTGCTCAACATCTGGGGGAAACTGTGAGCTTGAAGCAGCATTTCTTTCCAAAGTCAGCTTCTGATTTAAAGAGCTGTTGGTGTCTCTTTCAACTGCAAAATGTGTTAAAATATTAGTGAAGTTATCCCAAATATGTTATATCTTTTTATTTTTTTAAGTTAATGGTTAAATAAATAATGTTCAACAAAATTATTAGTTTTAAATATTCCCTACCAATGCAGAGCAGGGAACAAAATGAAAATTTAAAATCCTTGGTATAAAAAATGTATAAGTCTGATCAATGTAAGTGACATTATAACTCATAAACCTTTGTAATAAGTTACAAAGAAGTATTAGAATTATGTATAATTAATATGGCCCTAACAAGGTCAATGACATAAAAAAATTTAAGTTGGTTTTAAGATAACCATATTGAGCAGAAAGAATTACTAATACTGAAAATAAACTATGGAAATTTAACATGAGGTACAATTACTGAGGTATTTTAGAATTAGAGCACAATTTTATATTTTAAAATTTATACAAGCTAAACTTGAATGAATCATCATCTAGACCTATGTTTTAGTTTATATCCTTTAAGGCAATTATTTTGTCCAAAAGTTTTTTTCTGAAACAATTCAAATTAATAAATTTGGAGCATGTGAGTTATTACTTCATTCGAAATTGTAGCTGTAGGAAAAAAATAGATCTTTCCACTGAGGTTTACAAAAAATGTTTATTTTATTTTAAAGGTCACCATACTTACTAGCTCTTGAGCTGATTTTAAATTGTTTAAATTTATAATTGTATTATTTATAGGAAATTATTTATTAATGGGGAAAAAATTCAAACAGAGTGAAACAATTCAACTGCAATGACTTCATGTAAACATGTCTGACCTAATTCCAAATAGATAGCTAAATAAACATGTCTGACCTAATTCCAAATAGATAGCAACAGCCTGCTCTACAAGAATATTGTATGCCTGTTCTCCAGAAAGACTTGCTGCACAGGTCACAGCCTCAGCAACAGTTGTTAACTCAGCTTCCGGAAAAATTTCTAAAAGACTAACAGTGGCTTGGTTGATTTCATCTTCATAACTTGAATGTTTGCTAGTCATTTTGTTGAATCTAGAGTGACTATTTTATGATGATACAACTGTTGAAGAAAAATAATAATAACAAATAATTAATAAACAGATTGGAGATTGAATGGCAGTCGAAAAAAGTATAAGCATTCACATTTTTCATAACTGAAATCATAAATATTGAAGTTTTAAATATATATCGACAGATTACAAAAATGTTTTAGAGATTTGTTTCGTCTTATTTGTATTTAGTAGAACAAATTAGACTTTTATAAAGTCTATAGCATTAATTCTGTGGCATGCATGCCATTTATCTCAAATAACTTCCTTAAATCTTACTTTTTTGCTCCCCTTTGTGACAATGGTGGGGGTGGGGTGGGAAGGGGGGGGGGTTAAAAAGAGGCATAAATTTTGTAACATCATTTATGGATGGCCCCTTGCCTTAACAAAATTACCGATGTGCATATGTTTCATCCTAAGGAGAAAATCAGAGGGTGGAAATTCATAATTTCTCACCAAATACTGATTAAAGACTAAAATAAGAACGTGAGTAATTTTAAACCCACAAAAGCACCTTATCTTAGAGAATTTTTCAAAGCAAAATGGTATTTTCAATATATTAAAAAAGCTACATCTTACATCAGAATGGTTATCCATATACTGACCATGAAAACACACAAAGTACAATGATAACAATGTCAATCGGAGTGGTTATTCACAGTCGACTGGGAATAATGTTGAGCTAGCGGTAGTAAACCATTAATCGGCTGGGAATAGTGTTCAGCGTTATTCTCAGCAGACTGTGTGTTACGTAATGTCATCAGTATAGAGAAATTAATCTCTTATTAAAGTGTATGGCTCGTTTTAAAACAGTACACAACAAGAGACAATACCATATGTTTAATAACAAAGAATATGATGCTCAAATCAGGGCTAATTACTAGTAATAAGTTTTATTAAGTTAATAATAACAAATTACAAAATCAAAGAAATATAATTGAAACTATTGACTTACAGAATAATGTTTGGCTTGTACCAGTACAGTGTTGAAGAAAATACAATGTTGAAGAAAACACAATAATGTGAAAAAAGGGTACAGTGTTGAAAAGGAATCTACACACACACAGTAAACAAAGCTCTCTAGCAAAAATATCTCAAAAACTCTTGTCTGTCGCCTGGTCCCTGTTGTTCAATCCCTCGGCTTTATATAGCCCTTTTCTTTAGACAATTCGAAAGGACTACGCATTGTACTCGCTTCCCGCTGCTTCTACAATATTTTACAAAATTCGAATCATGAAACAGACCATAGGTTGTAGTTAGTTGTAACCGAGGTCAAAGGGAGACCATATTTAGCAAGCCACTCCCTAATAGCGAAGCCGAATTGGGGTCAGCTTAAGTCTTAAGTTCATTCACCAAAAAAGATGAATGAAGGTAAATGGGGCATTTATCACTGTGTATAATAATAATAATAATGCTATCATAATTAGGTCTGTTAAAATTAAAACAAATTATAGATTACAGCCCATAATTCTGCAAAAAAAATTTTATTATTGCTAGTAGTAGTAAAGCATTTATCAGCTTGAAATAATGCTGAGTGTTCTACACATTTGCCTGGGAATAACGTGTAGCGTTATTGACTTATTACCAGCCGACTGTGTATAGCACCTCCCATATCAATATTATAGGCCTATATTTTAATTTCCATTTAGTTAAATAATGACAAACTAAACAAAAGACAAAACTTCTTTAGCCTAGTGCCTAGTCCTAGTTAACCGTACTTACGTACTTTTTGTTACTTAGTTTAGCAATACTTCACTAACTACTTTATTAGACTCAGTAAGTTATCAACTAATGTAGAGTTATGTATCATAAACATGTTGAGGTGCTAAAATATAAAAATTAAAATATACCATTAGTAAGTTGCAAAAGGCCTACACACTTTCACTATTTCCGTACTATAACATAACTATCGATGAATGTAGTTGCACTGCGATATAGTTTCATCATGACAATACATTTATAATACTATTCACATGTAAACCGTACTGTTGCCGTGCACACTTTTTTATCAATCATTCACGTAATTTTGTAATAGATTTTCTATTATTCTATAAAAACACTTTCATTAAAACATTGTAATTTAAATTGAAACTTAATGGAAATTGTATGTGATTTATTATTTATTTATAAACTACATATGTATAGTTGTTATTATAAAATGATATAAAATTATACTTTTTTTTTAAGCTAGCCATCGTTAATTCTGTCATGTCTATGTCTCATGTGTGCCAGTTTTAGATTGCCTAAATCTGTTAGATGAAGGAATTGAAATTGAAGGTGTGATTTTTTAAAAATAAAACAATTAAAAAATCAAATCAATGTCCGCAATTATCTTAATAAAAAAATAAGGTTTAACCCATTGAATAATTATGAACTTCTAAATCCTCACTCTCAATCGGGGATTAATTTGAAATATTTTGTTTTTGTTTGTGGGGGTCCAAAGAAAAGTTGTTAAAAGGAAGGTGAAAAGTAGACCTACATTCCTACATTCTAAGTTTAATATTTCCTTTCTCTACTGTCTATTCTTCTTCTTAGCTGTTCTCACTCCCAATGGAGCACAAGCCATCAACAATACTTTTCCATCTGTTCCTGTCCTGGGCTATCTTTGCTAGTTCAGCCCATCTTTTCTTTATTCTCTTCACTTCTATCTTTACTCCCCTCTTCTATCTGGCTCTTGATCTTCCTCTTTTCATGGTGCTGAGATACAAAGTCAAGTTTTGTTGTTTTCTCCTGCAGTTGTTTATGGCTATGTGATAAAAGTGCAATGCCATCTGCAAAATCCAAGTCCTCCAACTCCAACTGTCTGAAAGGTGTCCCCTGGATTCCATTTTTCAAATCCCGTGTTGTGTCTCTCATGATCCAGTCAATGGATAACAGAAAGAGGAATGTTGAGAGCAGGCATCCCTGTCGAACTCCAGATTCTATTATAAATGTGTTTGTGAGTTCACCTTCATACTTCATGTATATCCCTACAACTCATATCCTTGTACGTGTTCTTAATTAAGTTAGTTTATAGCCACTGTATATTACTTCACTTAGTAAGATTAGTTTCTGTCTGTGCTCTTGAATTGCGTTGTGTGGGGGTGACATATATAACGTCACTCGGAGGGGGGGAGAAAGGGGTGGGGGGCGTACCGCACAGCGTGACACACAAAAAAAAAACATGTGCTTTCTGCCCAGAAAGTTAAAATTGATGTGTGGGCAGGAAGTGGGAAGGGCCCGGTGCTGGGGGAAAAAAAAAGGGGGGGGGGGGGTTTACAGAGCCCTAGGAAAAAAATTGCGGGGCATTTTATGTAAAATATCCTGGCGACATGATATTAAAACACGTCATAGTGCTACTGGGACTTACTGGTGATAAGGGGACATTTCATATCGATTATTTGTTTACTGGCTTAATCTCCGAAATTTCTTTAAAAATTGCAGAATTTGAATTGCAGAGCCGAAGTAATCATCGCGGCTCGGTTGTTGGCAATCTCCTGCAAGGAAATGAGCGAATCAGAGTGTGGGAAAACCTAAATAAAAGACGCAAACGAAACAATGAATATGTCGACAAAAAGCCTTTTTCAGCGAACAAACAACAAATAAAAACAATATATATATATATTTTTTTTTTAAAAAATGAGATGCCAAGTATTATACGAGAAGACATCAGGAGGACATGGTGTGTTTCTTTCAGAAAATTTGACCCGAAGTTGCATTTGGGGGTGGGGGCAGTGCTTGTATAAACGCCTCAACTGTTCATAATGGCAACCAGCGCCGGGTCGGAATCTTGCGCCCGCCCCCATAATAAATTGAATTCATCCCATATTATTTCGCCCGTGGAATCTGTAGAGACAAGTATAGTCAAACTATTATTACAAAATGAAAGTCAATATTTTTTTTTTTCAGTTACGAAAATCATTATACTTCTTATATCTGCATGTTTTTTTTGAATGGATACAAATGTGCCAGTAATCTCATTTTGATTGGCGGAAAAAGGGGGGGGGGGGGAAATGAAACTCTTTTTTTTTTTAAATTTAAAATCGATGAATGCATTTTATTGCAAACCCGACTTCAGTTTAGCATCAATAGATCAAAAGAAAAGGGGCTTGGAAATTTAGGTTGCTCTTAACCCTTTTTAATTGCGGGAAAAAGGGGGGGGGGGAAATGAAACTCTTTTTTTTTTTAAATTTAAAATCGATGAATGCATTTTACTGGAAACCCGACTTCAGTTTAGCATCAATAGATCAACAGAAAAGGTGCTTGGAAATTGAGGTGTCTCTTAACCCGGTTGTTTTTACATCAATCCTATTTTCATCGTTACTTATTCATCATCACCATCATGTCCCTTAGTCCTTGGACAGGTTGGGGCGCCACAGATGACACGTGAACTATCCTCCTCCATTCGTCTCTGTCTTCTGCACTTATTAACAATATTGTTTTTTTTAAAATATAAATTTCATTAATTTTTTTTTTTTAAAACCTACTTCATTTATAAATGAATATTTAAACAGTGCAGTTTAAATACGTGCCGGTCCGCCGTACTGGCGCGTAGCCAGTGGCGTAACTAAAGGGGTGTGGACCGCACCGGGTGACACCATCTCGGGGGTGACACCAAACTGAAAAATTACATGTGTAGAGGGTACGAAATGCTCATTCTAAACTAGTTTTCATAAAAGGATAACCAATCACACGTAAATCTCTCTCTCTCTCTCTCTCCTCTCTCTCACTCTCACTCTCTCTCTCTCTCACTCTCTCTCTCTCTCACTCTCTCTCTCTCTCTCTCTCTCTCTCTCTCTCTCTCTCTCTCTCTCTCTCTCTCTCCTCTCTAACTACACTCTGGTTCTCTCTCTCTCTCTCTCTCTCTCTCTCTCTCTCTCTCTCTCTCTCTCTCTCTCTCTCTCTCTCTCTCTCTCTCTCTCTCTCTCTCTCTCTCTCTCTCTCTCTCTCTCTCTCTCTCTCTCTCTCCCCTCTCTCTCTCTCTCTCTCTCTCTCTCTCTCTCTCTCTCTCTCTCTCTCTCTCTCTCTCTCTCTCTCTCTCTCTCTCTCTCTCTCTCTCTCTCTCTCTCTCTCTCTCTCTCTGCTAGAAGAACAATCGGGAGATGCTGGAGTGTATTGATCGCTTTCAATATTTTCATTCTGAACCACAGATCAGATCATCAACGGTCAAGGAAGTAGCAGAGGCGTATGGAGCTGTTCAACCCAAAAGTCTGCTATCAGCGAGAAGAGTTGTTGGTGTCCGTTCCAAAATTAAACTTTTTCTATGATGAGTTATCAGAAGATAAACTTTTAAAATAAATACCAAGGCTTAGAACACACTTATAGGCAGCTGATATTGATTGTCTCAATGTCATGGACGGGTCAGTATTTGGTGCTTTGAAATTCATAGGTGAATGGGAATTCCTAGAATCTCGTCCTATACGCTCGCTAAGCTTTCAATTGTTTCTTACTATCTTTGTTTTTAGGTTCATGTGAGCAGAGCTTTTCAAAACTAAGGCGTATCAAGAACTGTTTACGATCAACCTTGGGAAAGTCACGCTTTCTGATTTGGCTCTATTATTAATTTAAAGTGATACGGTGAAGTATATTGATTATGATCAAGTGATTGACAGATTTTTGGCTTTGAACACCAGGAAATGAACATTTTAGATAAAATAAATTTAACGTAAAAAATAACTATAACTTAACTTTGTTATAGTTCTTCAATACAATTACCTCCTGGCCGTCAATTAATTAGTTTTTGTTCTTGTCCATGTTATACTGTGGACTTATTTTAACAAGAAGAGATCCATCGCAAAAGTCGGGGGGTTGCGGGGACGGGGGACACCATGAGTTTACCGCAGCGGATGACACCAACCCTAGCTAAGCCACTGTGCGTAGCCTCGCAAAAAAAAAAAAAAAAAAAAAAGTACTGATATCATAATACACATTGATCGAAAATCAAACAAACCTTTAATATATTAGGCTAACTTTTTCCTCATTAAAATTTTAAATGTTACCAAATTTTACTTGAAGAAATACTATTTTGTGGGCTGGTTCAATATATCATTTATGTCTATTTGACGGATCTCATTTTTTTTTTTAAAATTCCAAGCCTATATCAATGGCATTCGTATATTAAGAAGAGAGGAGAGGATACATTTAAAAAAATAAAAACAACAAAAAACAACAATGGTCTTGTGGCGCATGAAGGTGGGTGCTGGGGAGGCGGTCCGACCCTGGCAGCTTCGTGCTCAGTACCTCTTCTGCAGATTGCTCGCCCCTGGCAGCACTCTTTTTTTCCTTACATTGAGGAGTTGCATATCGGCCAACTCCCACCTTGCCCTAATCTTCTACCAGTTATATTGCTGGTATATGCAATTCTAATCAGATAAATGTCTATACATTAGATGTGTAAGTTACAATAATAAAGAAAGGAATGTATTTATTTGGCTAACTTAGTGTTTAAAGAAATGCCCCCCAACCCCTTTGTGGTCGATTTGCCCGAGCTTGGGGTGGAGCTGAAAACAAACAAAAAAAGCCTGCTCCAAATACTAAGACTTTACCTTCTAATAAAAAAGAGTGTGTAGGCTACATTTCTTGGAATCGAAAATGAAAGAACCAGGGCAGCTTTTCCGTAAATCATTCCTGCCATATTCTATAAAGTGGAGCTTTACACAATGGATGTTAAATTGACAATTTATATAATATTAAAAAAAATAATTGATTTAAAATAATAGGAACGGTACTAAAATTTTGTAAAGGTGTTGAGTAAGTGTAAGCCTACTTTATCCTCTTTACTAAAACTAAAGTAATAGTAATAGAGTTAAAGAAAGGACTGAGAAGTAAAACTATAATAGTACTATTACTCTTGGTAACTGAGTTAATGAGTAAATAGTAAATAGGAAGTGGCCCAAATATTTTTTTTTTAAAGTGACGTGTAACAGCCATTTTTAGAGGGTTAGGCTAGACTATAAATCTTTTGCAAAAAACACAAATTTCATCTTCATCTAGGCCTATCTAGAAATTAATATATAGAAATGAAGTTATAATTTTATTTGGTGAGATTTTTAAACCCACTATACTTATACCTGCTTATTTATCTTCATGTGTGTAACAGTAGCTGTGAAAACTTTGAGCACTTTCCAAATGTATGTCTTATTAAAGTTATTTTGCTAACAAATGCGCCTATGGCCTATGCCTATGCCTATGCCTATGGCCTATGCCTATACTAATACACAGTTTACATAATACAACACATTGAAGTTGAATAAAAAAAAAACCTACTTTTACATAAAATCAAGACTTGTAATTTGTATAATTTAATTTGAGGGTATTTAAAGAAAAACGTGAAAAGAAAGATTATTATTTATAAAGGAAAATTAAAAAAAAATGTTTATTGAATTTTATTTAATTATATGTTTGTGTTAAATTTTAAATCAATTCTTATACTTTATATTTATAAAAAAAAGTAAGAGTAATTATTAATCTTTCTTTAATCTAAAATTGAAAAATAATGCAATAATGCATGTAATTTAGGCCTATAACTATAAGGTCTATAAGTATAAGTATAAGACTCCTAATACGAATGAGCATATCAGTACATGATTATATTTTTAAAGTTAATGGGATATTTCGCCTGTCATTTTCTTTAGACTACTTTTCAGACATATTGGTCTTGATAATGATAATGAATCCACAATCTCTCCTTCATAAACTTTGACTTTGTCTTTTTCATCTTCATCCAAATGTGATTCCTTGTCTTATTGTCTATGTACTATGGGAGGAATTCCAGATTTCTTCAATAGAAAATAACTATTAACTATAGTATTGACTAGTGTCAATAGTAATATTTTTATGAATTTCATAGACATAAATGTTAAATGAGTCTAATTAATTATCATTTCTTCATATTATATTTAAATATTATTTCACCATTAATATTAGTAGTTATATGAATTAAAGAAAGTGTTAGATTAAAACTAGAAATCACAAGAGAAGTTAATTAGTAGGCTACTTGATAAGTCAGTACAATTCAGTTGACATTTTTTTTACTAAGATGTTTAGCCTGTCATTTTTTTATTTCTACTTTTCAGACTTCTTGGTCTTGATAATGAATCCACAATGTCTCCTTCATGAACTTTTCTTTAAACTATTTCTTTGAATAATATATTTTCTGATCTTTGCTTTAGTTTTAGTATTTTAATTTTAAGCCTTGCTAGCGTATGATTGCTGATGCTTTTTCAATGAATACAATGCTTTTTTAAATATAATTTTGCTTAACAGTGTTATATACAGCTATAATGTACAGAATTCAATCTCTTATTTTACTATGTGGCTTGTGACAAACAGTAAATAACTAAGGATGATACCATTAATTAAAAACAGTAATAAAGAACGAAACCCAAACTAGAGCTAATTACAAATAATAATTTAAGTTAATTTAAAAATTACAAAATCAAATAGAGTAACACTAAGGCCATTCACTTACAGTACAGCAATGAACTTGTACTGGTACAGTGTTGGAAGGTGCACACACGCACCCAGTAATTATAATTTACAATATCTGCGGTAAGTACAGTATGTTAGTCTGTAAGTCTCGCTCTGTAATTACAAGCTCTGTTTGTCTCACATTCTCGTTCTAGCTTTATCGGCTTATTTATAGTCTTTCTTAGAGACTTTTCCAGAAAGCCGTTTGGCATATTATCTGTATCTTGGTCTGTCTTGTATGTACTAAAGAATTCTAAAGACTATAGACTATGTTTTCATGTAGTCAAGGGAGACTCTTTATAATTAAACCACACCCATCTTCGGCGAACTAGGGGTCACCCAGAGTTCATGCTTCTTAACAGCTTATAAACAATTATATAATTTATATGTACAACAAAAATTAATTTCTGGACAAAGTATCAGCAATAACATTATTTTTGCCTTTAATATGTTTTATGTCCAAATCATACTCTTGTAAAAATATACTCCATTTGTTTTATTAGGCACATTAGGAACAAGTGAAACAAAATCTACAATTACAGATTGAACAATATCTTTCTCTGACAGTGACAAATGTCCTAGTTTCTTATCTAAATTGGCCAGTATTTCTGAATTTTTGTGTTTGTAATGACTAACTTTATCTGGGACACTATCAGATGTTTCAGTAACATTTGAGTAACATTTTCTTTAGGTAGGTACTGAAGTTACACTTGAGATTATGTTAACATTAGCTTCTGAGGATGAAAAATTATCATCACATTTTCTTTCAACATATTCCATAACATGTTAATGTGACATAACTGTTTCTTTCTTTTACGAGCTGGTGTTAACACAAATTAATTTAAATCATTAAGTTTGGACTCAAATATATAAGGACCAAAATAGCTTGTAGTGCCTACCCTGATATCAGCAAATGTGCAAGCACTTTGTCCCTTGAAACAAAGTGTCTGAATTCAGACTTTTTGTCATACCAAACTTTCATTTTAGATTGAGAAACTTTTAAACTTGAAAATTGAGATTCAGCCATATTTACAGCATTAAAAGTTTAGTTTTAAACTTTAAGACAGTCCAAAAGTCCTTCAGTGGGTGTTGATGACATCCACATATCTTTTAAAAGTTGAAGGGGGCCACAAACCATATGGTCAAACACAAGTTTGAAGGGGTTGAATCCAAGTGATTCTTTAACAGCTTCTCTTGCGTTGAACAGTAGCATTGTTGAGTCCTTCATCCCAGTCTTTCTTTTGTTCTAGGCTGTAAGTTCTCATCATATTCTTGAGCGTCTGATAGAATCGCTCAAGAGCTCCCTGCGTCTCAGGATGATATGCACCCAACAAGCAGTGTTCTATACCAATTTTGGTTCATCACTTGCTTGAATAGTCCAGCCTTGAAGTTGGTTCCTTGATAAGATTGTATTGACCTCGGAAGACCAAACAATGTAAAAAAAAATCATCAAAGCTTTGACGATGTTTGGAGTCTTGACATTGCAAAGAGGAATAGCTTCTGGGAACTTTGTTGATGCACACATGATTGTTAGCAAGTATTGATGACCTGATTTTGTCTTTGGCTGGAATGGGTTGAAGATGAGCTGCTGGTATCTTTTGATTTGGTTTCCCTACCACCTAACAAGTGTGGCATGATCTGCAGTAATCAACCACATCTTTCTTTATTTTGGAACAAAAGAAGTACGACGTTATTTTGTGACAAGTCTTGTTTACTCCCAAATGGCCTCAAAGTGGTGAATCATGGGCTTTGTTCAGGACTTCGTTCCAGAAAAGTGTAGGAACTACTATTTGATGAACTATCCTCCATTCTTTGTCAGCTTTTGGAGGTCACCATTTTCTCATAAGTATGTCATCTTGTAGGTAATAACATACAGGAAATTGTTCAGCCTTTTCTTGGGTCAAAGCATTCTCTCAAAGTTTAAAAATTTCTGGATCACTCTTCTGCTCTTCTATAAGCTGCATTCGAGTGTTAGTCTTGTGAGTATTTGACTCTTCATTGAGACTTGCGAAAAAAGTTGTTCCCAGATCAAGATCTAGATTAACTTTATTAATTTTTGGTGAAATTCTTTTACAGACAATACAGAATTGAAGTACTCTTCTGTAGATAAAGAAGTCTCAAAAAGTGATAAAAGGCAAGGCACAGAGTATTTGCAAGGTTCTATATCACATCTTCCCTATATTGTCTGAATTTGCAGAAAACAAATGTATAATATAGTTCACCAAAAATCAGAACAAATATATTTGTCTATACACCTGTTCACATTATTTTCTCCCCCTTTTTCCCCTGCACTTTAATACCCCCCCCCCCTCCCACCTCCCATCTATCGAGAACTACAACTTGCATATACAACTTTCCCATTCACCAATTACACCTTTCTAAACTATATCTGAGCCCCTCACTTAACTCCCATTGCCCCACACTAATACTAATACTCTTATAGTCTAGATAGAAGAATTCCTGCTATTATATATATTTTATAATGCACCATTAGTCTACCATTGTTAAAAATCCTTTAGTCTCCCAATTTGAACACACCTATATTCTTCCATTAGAAATATTACATAAAAGGGATTTCAATCTGTTTTTAAGATGGATGAAATTCTTTTATTGATCAAGATAATTGGACATTTTTTTTTTAATCACATTGTACATATTTATCTTCAGCACTTAAATAAATACATAATTTAACCAAGACAACATTTTACAATTAGAAAAAATAAAAACACAAAACATCTAAAGTATTTCTCTAGCATAGAAATCGGACGTCATTAAACTACTTCAGTGACAATAATGACATAATTAGTGATCAGGGATGTAAAAGAATTCAAAAACTTTTTTTTACTGACCAAAAAAAATAGAATGTTACTGTGGAAAAAAAAGTTGGCAGCTGGGAGAAATAATTAAAATGCCTTTCTGCTTCTGATCCCCTTTTAAAATCTACCCCTCACACACTAAATCATTAATTTAATTTAAAATAACTTTAAACAATAATAATTATGGGACATTGCTCAAGCTTCAAATATGATGTTTCTCGTATGCTGAATGTTACATACGTGCTTAAAATGTATTATTATTTTGTTACCAGATTTTTCCTTGGTATAAAATTTATATGCTTTTGCTTTTTTTTCAACAGATTTCGTTGTAAGAATTTAAAACCTCAACAATGTTATGGGAAGTGTTGATCCTCATTTTCATCATAGCAATGATACGGTATTTTTTCAGTACTGAAATGTACCACAAATGGTGTAGAACAAGTAAATGTTTCTTTTCAAATTTTCAATAACCTATTATTTTCCAAAAAATAAATCTAACTTCTTCAGTCTTATGAGTTTTGAGAAAAATTGCAAGAAATTAATGTTATTTATTTATTTTTTTGTTATTGATAGATAAAGAGAATTTAGATTTAGTTTAATCAATTTCAAATTAATTTTACAATGGTTGTGTAAAAACTTATTTTAAAAAAAATTAACAAACAACCAAAACTGATTTTAAAATATTGTTTATTTTATTCTGAGCTCTCCAAAAATTACATTTGACAGAACAGATACAAAACCTGTAAAATATGATTAACCTTTGAAAGAGCATAAAATAATGATATTTGGATGCTAAGCAGGGGCTAGGGTTATTGCCACCTGGGTTGGGTCAATATTTATGCTGTCAATTTCCCACAAAAAAAAACCCCCACCTCTCTAGAAATAGAAAAAAATTCCCACCTAGCGTAACTGCCACCTCCACTCCAATCTCTCTATGCCAGCGATGCTTAGATCTTAAATTAAAAGTTTAATAATGCAAATGACATGTATGAAATAAATTGGCCAGACATGAGAAGCAAATTATTAAATTTTTGGCTAGTTTATAAGCTATGGGTGTATAAAGAATAAAGGCTTTAAAAATATTATAAAAATAGTGTTTTAATTGAAATATATTAAATTAAATTACCAGAACTAAATTTTGTCTTTGTTATATGACTTTTTAAGTGTGCATTTTTGTTTGTTCATATAGCATCTGTTTTAAAGTTCTTTATGAAAGTGATAAATACAACTGCTAAACAATAACAAAAAGTTCATGCTTCAAGTTTGTTTTACTTTATTACTTTGTTTCATTTTTTTCAAGCAAACGCCAGTTTAAGAAATAAGGATAATGGTTTGAGGAGAAAGGAAAACTCTCATAATTTTCTTCACACCCCAAGTCCTGCTAGAATAACACCTTCTATACTAGAAACGAATAGAGAGGGGTCATCATCTTTGGAGCTAGCAAGAAAGATGTTAAGAGAAATAGATCTCAAAGACAGTGTTTCAAGTGAAGAAAAACATACTCAAAAGGATGGAAGGGATATGAAGAGCTATAATTTAGAGAGGCCTTCAGTTAACTATAATGGTCTTAAAAACCGTTCCAATAAGGCATGTAATGGGCAAAAGGATGAAGCTAGCAGAACCAATAATTCTGACACCCCTGTTAAGGAAAGCTTACCAATAACAAAAACACCAGTTTTGCAGTCTCAAAGCACAAGGGTTGATAATAACATAACTTCTCAGAGATCCAGCCACCAAAATGGTAGTACATTTAAAAAAAAGGGCTTTAGGAAAGATATTATTGGCCTGTTAGATAATGACACAATATTACCAAGCAAAACTCAACCTGCAGCAACAAAAGAAATATCACATAATACTACTGAAAGGGAATTCATAAGTGCCCAGTCTTCAGTGTTTGAGAAATTGCCTGGGGGGTTGCCTTCTAAAGATAAAACTCAGCTTTTATCTACCACACAGACATCAAAAGAGGAAAAGACATCATCTCCCCTGCATTCACTAAACTTGCCAGATAAAAATGTTAATGTCTCCAATGCACCAGAGATTAAATCATATTCTCCTGAAACTTACCCTGTAGCAAAGAGAAATGGTGAAACATCAAATCGGACACAAAGCCCTGGTTGCTATAGCTCTTTATATAATTCTGATAATTCTGGAAACTATAAAAAAAATGTGTATCCTGGTGATTCAAAGCCTGTCCATGCTAAAAACAATTTAAATTATTCAGGAAAAGCTAAATTTGGCCTGAATTATAGTAAAGATTGTAAAATGGATACCAGTACAGATAATGTATATAACATCCCAGCTGACATGGATTTGGATTCCTCAACAAGTTTATATGTTGACAGTTTTAATTCGCCTATGGATGATGAAATGGAAAGCCCCAGTGACATGCAGCTGATTTCAGAGATGGATCAAGACATAATGTGGGATTTAGAACTATTAGCTAAACCTGAGAGTTTAGTCAGAAAACCACAAAAGTTTGGGACATTTTTATTTCCTAAATACACAGAAAATAAACATTCCTTCAGAAATGAGGATGCAATGAATTGTGATGATACTCTTAATGAAAATAATGTTGAAATGATTAATAAGCATACAACTTCTCACAGTTTTAACAATTCACCTGGAAATCTTGCTAGGTCTAATAATACTAAACTCATTACTGGTAAAGAAATTACTCCTGGAAACCAAAAGTCTTTCAGAAGAAAAGGTCTTAGCAATATCAATCAGCCATCTGCTTTAGGACCAATGGCTGTACCAACAAATCTCACTGAAAAGCCAAACTTAAATCTTCATCATCGTCACTTAGCTGAATCTGGACAAATCTCAAAACCAGACGGGAGCAATCAAAGAATGGATAAGTCCGTAACATCGAATAAAATATCTGATACCAGTGTCAGTGTGTCAGGACAAATACTTCCTTCTACTGGGAAATTGAGGCCGCAAATATTATCACTTAACAAATCAGGAGGGAATACCCTAGACTTAAATGCAGGCATCAGAAGAGCAGAGCAGCCAAAAAATGCTATCATTTCTGAGTCACAGGATACTGTTGAAGAAAAGAAAAAGAGGTCTGGAAAATCAGATGAGCTCGAACTGGTTAACGACTCAAAAATGAAGAAGGCCAAATTGGTGAGTGATTTTAGTTAAAGTTCCTTGTTTAAAAAAACAAACAAATTAGCAAAAATTGGTAAAGCAGGATCTCCGGGAACACCTGATGACTCTCAGGGTTATAAATTTATCTGGTTGTTGTCATTTTGGATGGGACTATATTAGGTAGCCTCTCTATAATAGGTAGCCTCTCTATAATAGGTAGCCCCTCTATATTAAGTAACCTCTCTATGATAGGTAGCCCCTCTTTATCTTTGGCTCCGGCAGACATAGGGCAGTAATTGTTTTTTTAAAGAAAAGATTTTGTGTGTGTTATTTTAGTTAGGGTGTAGATTTAAAATTGGGGAGGGTTCATTGTTTTCTTTTTTTATAAGATAACTTTGTAACAGATATTTCATCTTGTCCACATAGTTTGTTACACAAATAACTTAAAATTTTTTTTTTTTTTTTATCAAACTCAAATTCTTATAACATTATTTTTTTAAATGTTATCTTTCATATTCTCTGAATACTTAAACTTCTGTTGATAAATTAAATCCATTAAATATTCCCCATCTGGAAGTGTTTGATTTGTTTTCATTTATTCTACTCACCAAAAGCCATGATAGTTTTCAATGCAACATTTGCTGATATTACATGAATCAACAGTACATCTTTAGGTATGAATTTCCAGTTAATGAATAATGCAGTGATAATGGATTATGGATCTTTAATTTGGTTTTAGTTTGTTTGTGATGCAGTCTGTTGGTCTTAGTCTGTCTTGACACCCATCTTGAAGTCTTAGTCTGTCTATCATGTGTCATCATGTTTGTTGCAGGCTCTTAGAGTTGCACATTGTTTTAATTTTAATCCTTCCATAGGGATGTTCTCATTTACTTTTAATATCAGCTTCCCTTTATTGTACGGTTAATTTGGTTCCTTAAGCCATACAAATATTCCATTTCAAAATATGATAGTCCCTCTGTTATTTAAAATATAATTCTCTCCTTTCCCTGATCAGCTTCTTGTATATAAACTTATAAATATATATTATCATCTTGATTTTTATAAATCCTTCTCTGTGACCTTATTGAGTAGTAAACATCAATTATCTACATTTTAAATTGAGGCTTGCTTCTCCTACCATAAATATATTAATGAATGCATTTGTCAAGTACAATGACAACTGAAGAAATACAACAAATTTTATTAGCCAGAAATTAGCAAATCACACTTCATGAGGAACTTAATTAATTCATCAGGGAATTTCATCTCTTAAAAATATAACTCTTCTTTCATGATTTATTATACACATTTTACACAATTATGCATTAGATTTAGTAAAAGAAAAAAAAAATGTTAAAATTGTTTTCAAGCTTTGCTAGTCCACAGATTAGTCAGTACTCTATCAACATTGGGGTCGTTAGCAAATTACGTCACGATCAGGGGGGAGAGAGGGGGTCGAGACTTTGTGAGAGGGGGAGGGGGCTTTCAAAAATTTGTGATGTCACGTTTTTCTTTTTTTTAAACTAAAACTTTCTAATTTTGAAAAATGTTTATTTAAATAATTATTAAAAAAATTAATTTGAGGTCGAAATTGCCTCAGGCATTAAATAAAAGTGTAACTCAGTCGCGCGCACCTGCGCATAACGAAAAATGACGCAGAAACTGTTGTGGCCATTTTACATTCGGCTTGTGGATGACTTCATTGTTTTGCATGACAGTTTTCTAATAATACTACATCTTAATCCATTATGTTAAAATGTTAAAGAATAGAATAAAATCTTTATTATGAAACATGTTTTATGTTTTCAATTTTTATTGGTGTGACGAGACAAGGGGGGGGGGGGCGCAATTTGTGAACGACCCCATTCATAAAATGAAATAAAAGTTAAGTTTTATATCTACTCCATAAAGCCTTGCAGAGATTTAATCAAATATATAGCTTTTAAATAAGCATATTCCTTAAGCTTTATTTGTATATGAAAACATAATATCTATTTTTAATATTTTTTTTTCTAGTCTGAATTTCCTAACTATTTGGCAAAGCGAATAGTGAGGCGGTCTCAGATGAAGAAACTTATGAGCAACAAGCTGAAAGATGCTGGACAGAAGGAAAATTATGATATTACAGAGATGGAAGCACACAGTGTTGAAGGTATTAATGCTGAAAAAATTGAACTACTTACTTTTATTCTGCCTCAGTTGCTCATTTAGTACAGATAATATAACATGGTGATTTTCAATAATTATGCCCAATTTAAATATAAAACATAATTGCATGGCAAATAATTTTTATGATAATTGTTTAGTTGTTTTTTTTTATAAATAAAATTAATGTCTACATTTAATAACAGCAATTATTTCCTTGTTCTTGAGAAAGCATCGCTTTTTTGTTTTTATTGTTGTACATAATCATAGTAATTGGATATTTAATACCGGGTACCGGTAATTGAAATAGTTTGGTGAAATCAGGACATAAAGTGGTGAATTAATTTAATTAATTTAATCAAATTCCCACTGTCTTTATCACAAGGTCACCCTTTTGTCAAAATTGCTATAATTGTTTTAAATACCAGCATTAACTCTTAATATTTAAAGAAATGTACAACAAAAATCTGCACTCTAAATTTTTTTGTCCAATCAAAATGTGAAGCAACTGATTAAAGATCTATCTTTTCCATACTTGTAATGTCTATTTTTAAGCACTATTAGGAAAATTCATCAACTGTTAAAACAAAGTTAGAACTACAACTCCATACCACTTTTATTTGCAATCATCTTGAGCTGTAGTATCTTAGCAAGACAAGCTTTTATTCATTAGCTATTTACAAATTTGTTTGTAGTTCTAGGAACGAATTGTTGGGATTGCAATGAGAAGTTTGATTCTTCCGAGTGCACCTGGTGTCCCTATAAACATCAGATTTGTCTGCCGTGCATTAAGAGAGTCATAAAAATTTTCATGAATGCAAAAGATCAAGTAAGGAATTTCACAAACATTTTTATAAGTTCTTTTCCTTTGTAATTTAATTTTGTGTTACTTTCTCCCCCCCCCCCCCAATCTTGTTTGCGTAACCATTGTTTTGATCAGTATCAAATTTAAAATAGAGCTGAAAGGGTTTATTGACCAGCGGAGTGGGAGCAGTGGTGGTAGAAGAAAAATTACAGCAGCTGGTATCTATTTAAATCTATAAAATTAACATATAAAAAAAGTTAGTAATCCCCTCCCCCCTCTTCCGATACCCAGTTATACTAAGTGGGTAGTTCAAGAAAGCAGTTTTGTTGGGATTGCACTTTAAAAATTTTACCATTGTCCCAAATAACAATTGTGTTACAATCAATTACTCAAGTTAAAGTTCAGCATGAACCATCTTATGGAAATGGATGGTATTCTATCAGATACTTTTTTGCCTCCTTTAGTAATTTGATTAAAGGTAGCAAATCTGATTAACTCAATGGCTGATGAATGTAGCATTTATTTAAATTTTCAGAAAATTTACCAAACATAAACCATCAATTTTTTACAGATGCAACTGACCTGTCCTGTTGAGACTTGTCGGGAAATAATTGAAATTGGTAAGTTATCACCTTTTAATTTATAGTTGAAATAAATATTGTGCAATTTAATATGAATTAGGTACTTTTAAAGCTAAAATTCCAGCTCATTAGAATTTGATTTACTCGTTTAGACATGTTTCTTAACTTTAAAAATGAATTGACATATTTTACCTTTTAATAATTTTAAAACACAGTATTAATTTAAATATTCTTTTCCTTGAAAAATGTATGCAAATGTGCAGTTTATGAAAAATTATCTACTATAAATAACAGACTTCACTAACGCCCTACATGGAGAAAAAATACAACTGCTTAGATTGTGAAAATTTTCCTCTAATTATCTGGACAAATTTCACCTACGAGGGGCCTGCTGGTTTGGGATGAAGATGATGATCAAATATTTAGAGGGATTGGGTTGGGGAAGGACTATTAAATCTACTCATGAATTTTTTTAACCAAAATCTTAAATTATCACTTGCAGACCTTGTGACAAAACAAGTTGACCCGCTTACTTTTGATATACTTAAAAGGAAACTTCTCAAAAGACAGGAAAGGGCCAATGAAGAAGTTGTGGAGTATCTGTTTCAGAAAATCAGGTTAGTGAAAATTATTTGTGGCCTCCCTCCTGAAATGTGGAAATTGTACAAATGCTTTTTGACACTTTGAATTCGGATGAAAGCCTCAATTATTTGTTGTTTTGATTCTCTTATAATATCTTCTATGGTTCAGGGGTGTGGAAAAAAGGTGGGTTTATGTTGCAAGTGTAATTATCAGGATTAATCATCATTAAGGCTTAGACATTTCAGATATCCATCGCAAGCTAGAAAAGTGTCTAAAACGAAAAATAATTAAGTTTTTCCAAATCCAAATATAAAAAGATTCAAAGCCATCTAAAAATAAAAAACACTTTAAAAAAGTGATAATATATAAAAATAAATATTATAATTTAATATAATTTATTGATTTAATTTTTAAAAATCCTTATGAACACATACTTATTTCTTAATTTAACCATTCTTCATTCAGCTGTCTAAACTGCAAGACTGTTGCTAGTATGGATAAGAAGGCGATACACTTTAAATGCAGAAACTGTCCTAAAGTAAGTAACATTGTAAACACATGGTAAATATGAGAGAGGCTGATTTTAAAGTAAATGTAAAAAAAACATGTGTATTCGCAAGTAGGATTTTTGTATGCATGCTAAAGAAAAGTTTTCAATGCTTGAGATTAAGGCAGATGAGAATAGATGTTAATACATGAAGACATAGAATAGTTAAAATTTATAATAATAATAAAATGACTTATGCAAAACAACAGAGGAAATAGACACCTTGCCCCAAGGTATTATTTGCATATTGTTTAAGAATGATTGATTTTGTAGTCACATTACATTGAATAATTGTGGAGTTCAGTGGAAATGGGGCCAATAATTATGCAGACTTTATTTTCTGCTGTTTATAATTGATATGTTTAATTAATAAAATAAATCCAAAAACATAGAATTTTGAGTTATATGTTTAATTTTGGTGTATTTTTATACTATGAATAAAGTTGTTGTTTTTTTGTTGTTTTTTTTAAATCAGTTATCAAAATTTATTTGTGATGAAGCTTGATAAATCTTGTGTATACTTGATAAGGTGATCCTTTACTTATTCAGGAATATTGTAGTTACTGCCACAAAGATTGGCCTGGAAGTAACTTACACAATGAGTGCAGACTCCTGAATTGTTCTGGCACCAAATGTTTTCAGGAGCTCCACGTACCTCCAGATAATTGGGAAGAAAGTTACTCAGCATTGAACAAAGTGCAGGTCAGTTGGATGAAATGTAATAAAACATGGTCTGCTTCATTTGTGGATTCAGTTTAGCCCACAGATAATAAAAACTGTTTTTTTTTTAAGAAGGGTTCTTCTAAGGGAGCTCTTATGTCACTGCCCCTAGTGTTTGAGGTAACCACAATCCCTTTTAAAGAGCTACCACACCTTCACTCGGTTAGGAGGGGGCTAGGTGAATTGTTTGATTTGATATTTTCCAACCCAAAGATACTTTAACTCAGGAGAATGTTGGAAGTAATTTGAATAAACTGTACTTTCTACGCATTCCATTTTCCACCCCTCACCCTTACTGGCAGAACGAGCAGTGAGGCAGTGAAGAGTATGGGACTTCTTGTAAAATATCTTCGGTACCAAATAAGAACTACAAAATTTTCCCTTTAGCCATATCCCATAACAAGACCACTGAATCAGAATGATGATGAGGATGTTAAGTTTTTTTTTTTTAAATTTGCTATAAGCATAAAACTATTCAACTTCTTATGTGTTTAATGTATAGTGTTTTTTTTCAATTTGAAAATTGGCGATGGGTTATGGAATTTAATTCAGATAATTAAAGGGGAAAAAATTAAAAAGAATCATTGGAATGTTTGGCTATTGAAAATGTTGTGATAACTTCATACATAGAAACAAAAACAAATGGTGTTTTGATGAATCTTGTAAAGAAATGTCTCAAATCTTTGATCTCAGTCATGTCTTTGATCTCAGTCATGTCTTTGTTTTCACTTTATAATGCCCCTGTTTTTAACAATCTACACACAAATGTAGGCTGTCCTGTTAACATTTAGTGCTACTTTGCTCTTGTTTTGATTTTCTATACTTACAAATAAAAATAAAAAATATTGTATTTTTAGAATGAGCTCAAAAGTCTGTCAAAAACCAGCTTGGTGAATCTAAATGGACGTGAAGGAAGAGCAATTATAAGTTTATTCATACAAACCTCACCTGATTTTTGGATCACAAACATAATCCGATTGCAAAATATGAAGCTCTGGGAAAAATATGTTTTGTAAGTAGAGTATTTAAATTCTATTTAATTTACTATGGCACTTGTCTGAAGTTTTAACTGACAAACTGTTCATTTTTCTAGATAGTGCTTAAAACGGCCCATGGAATCTTTTTAAAATCTTTTTAATCAGAAAGTTGTGTTAGGATTAGCAAATTCTGGAAAGTGAAAGCAAATCTCATGTAAAGAAGTTTATGGATGTCAATGACAGATAGTTGGTTGAATCAATTAGTTTGCTGCAAATTAGTGAGGCTGTTGTCTCATCCAGCCCAGATGTATCAGCATGTATATGGCAGTCAGCCAATAGGAGTTAGTAAGTGACTCATCACCTGCCCTCCCCTATCTGTTACATATCGCTTATTTGCATTGCTGATAATTTAGGTAAATTATAGAGAATATGGAAAATAATTAATGTGATTGTTGTAATCCTGCTCTGAGTTGTAATATACTACTCCTAAATGGGTAAGAAATTCATTATCAAGTTCGTTTTTTTTTTTTTTTGCCATCTTGGCGCACAACATTTAACCACTTCATTACTGATCACGTCGACACGACTTCACGGTCACCCACTTTCAATTACCAAGGACGTCACATTGTGGTCATAACAAAAATGTAAGAACTTTTCTGAAATGCCAAGGACGTCACATTTCAATGCTATATATTTCCTTATTCGTTAATCTATAGAGAAGTTAAGCGAATCGGATAGAAAATGAAATTTACCGAAAATTTCATCTTTTAAGTTTTTTGTTGCTGAGTCATCAAAAATCGATGCCAAAACCCTGTGGTAATGAAGGGGTTAAATACATAACAAAAATATAAATATGATATTTTAAAGATTAATAAGTAAGTAACATTTTGGTTTTTTACAACTTACTGGCACCATCACATTTTCCCACCACTTTCAAGCTAAGGTCAATTATTATTTTATTCCCACTTCTTTTGTTTCTTGTTTTATCTGCTGCTGAAATGCTGAAGGCTGCTTGCACAAACGTTCAATATATTGTACTTTTCTTCCTTGCAAGCTTTTCACATATGATGTTCTAAAATCTCCTACAAATTAGAATTTTTTTTTACATTAGTAACCTTAAGATTTATCAAATAGGAAACGCAAGCACATGGTTGAGGAAATAGGCGTGTCCAACATCAACGAGAGAGCCTTATTTCATGGAACAAATGAAAAAAATATTTCTCTTATTTCTGAAGAAGGCTTTGATATGAGGGTAGAAACTGCAAACGCAAAGTTGTTTGGCATAGGTGAGAAATATGATTTATAGGCACACTTTGCTTAGATTAAATCAATTTGTAATTAACTATTATATTTTTTTAGAATTGATTTTCATTGTTTTGTTTACAACTGCAACACTTGAATAATAGATTAATTCCCATTGATATTTGATGTTAAATTTCTTGAATGTTTATCGAGTTTGATTTTTTACTAGGTGTTTCTTTGCTCCAATGTTTCTTTAGTGCTTGATAATATTGTTTTCCCCAGGTACCTATTTCAGTACAACATCAAAATATTCCCAACAATACGCAGGATCATCCAATAAAATGTTCATGGTCAGAGTGCTATGTGGATACTCAGTCCAAGGGTCTGCATCATACAAACGGCCACCCAAGGACAAGTCTGGTAGAATGTATGACAGCTGTGTGAATAAAGAAAGTGGCCCAAGTATTTACTGCCTCTTTGACAACTCTCAGTGTTACCCTGCCTACGTTATTGAGTATAAAAAGAAATAATAGTAATAATGTTGAATGTTGATATAATTTTATAATTATTCATTTTCCCTGTCATTAAATATCAGGGCATTATTCTGTTGTTTTTTATTTTGTCAGGTTCATTATATTATAAAATATTTCTTATGGTTTGAACACATTTCTCTGTATTGCTCTATTATTGTACAGTGAAGGGTAAATTTATAACATATCGCTAAGGCTCCTTAAACTTTTTATGACACAGATTTTATAGGTACCCGGTATATGAATTTTATTTCACCAAGTTATTTATTGATTTGAAGTAGTGTAAGCACAAGAATAAAATTCTAGTATGGGTGTATTTCAGGGTTTGAACAGATGAGTTTTTTGTTTTATTTTGTAATGTGAACTGGAGGCAGTGTGTGAGATTATGAACTTTGGGACCATTTAGATGTATAGATTTATTTTCACCTAATTAATTAAAAATACCTATATCCCTTCTCGTCTGGTAGTACCAATTTTAGACTGACCCTTCCCCATAATCACAACATTGAGTTTATTTTTTTTATTAAGTCATTTGTTTATGTAATCATGTTCTTGCAGTTTAAGACTTGAATGGCAGTCTAATAAATAAACCATATGATAAGATTGGATTATTGTAAGAGAAAGGCTCTTGTGCTCTAGGTACAATGGATAGATGGAACAACTTCAGGTGCAGAGTTAACACAGGCATTTCTGGCTTGTCTTTCGTGCTCCGCCGCAGCTGTCCCATCAGCTTCATGTAGTATAAGGAGGAATGCAACGATGCTCGATCCTTTGCTGATCATTGTCCCATTTTATATCAGATCCGTTCAGTGAGGATTTTAGGTTGTCTTTAAAATGTTATTCTGCCCACCAGAAAACTGCTGTCTGTGCTCGAGCTTATCATAAAATAGCTTTTTTTGGACAAGTGGTAATCTGACATTCTCACCACATTAAAATGGTATAGGAACTGGGAAGACCTGCCTGTTGGGTGAGTTGTTTTTTTTAATAGCAAATTAAGGATTTGAAATTTGGATGACAACATTAAAAATGGGGAAGTTTACGTTGTCGAAACATAGAATTAATTATTTTAAACCATATATTCATTTAGCAGAATTTTATTTTTGTATCATTTATTTCATTTTTTGTCCCTCAAATATAAGCACTGGTGATTTTAAGGACTTTAGGTCAACTTAAACTTTAAGTTGATCATCTTTTCTTTGTTAAATTCATCTTTTCTTTGTTAAATTCATCTTTTGTTTTGAGTGTATATCTTTACTCATGACACGTAATCTGGAGCCAGAATGTTTTATTTGTGCCATGATATCAGGAAATCTTTCCAGACTGATTCTTTTGGTTCATATTCATTGATGTTTATGGAATTTATGCTGTTGAATGTTATGCTGTATGACTTTATAAATAATGAATGTTACCTTATTCCCCCCCCCCCCTCAATTTCCAACTGTGATCTTAATATTTTAAAATTAATTCCACATACAATTATTTTTAGAGCATCTGTAATTATATCTTTCGCTTATAGGATCTTGTTAATCTGTATATTATTTGATCTGATAGCATTACTTTGAATTATTTGATACACATTATCTTTTTAAGTCTTATCTTCTTTTGAAGCTCTCTACCATCTCCAGAAACACACACACACACACTTCCCTGCTCTTTACCCAGAGGAATTACCAAGTGATCATGATTTTTTATTAATGAAAGCTTATTACTGAGTGCTGTGCCAAGAGAAGACAAATGTGTCTCCATCTAAAAGGACTTAACATTTTATTTTTTTTTTATAAATCCATCCCTGTGGCTCTACAGCCCATTTTGGGCTTTGGCCTGAAACACCACTTCCTTCCACTCAGACCTAACGAATGCTTTCCTAAAACTAAAAGGACTTTAACAGGTTTTTTTATTTTTTTTATAGAAACTATTAGTTAATTTTGATAAGATTTGGTTGTTTCTTTCCAGCTATAGATATTTTCAAGTCATTACAACAACAAAAAATGTTTCTCAAAAAGTTTCATTGCTCGACTATGTAGTCCAATGGTAATGTCGCCTGCCTCGAAACCATGAGCTAGGGAATTTGTATTTGTGCTGGTGTCATCCCCAGCTAAAGGAAAGAGGCCTAATAAATATCCCCCCCCCCCGCATGGGATGTAGGCTACACTCTGGTGTGAAGAAATGCTATACAGGTTTTTGTGCACCATGGTGCGCATTCCGTAAATGGGCGCTATTAATAAATTAATGACGGATAAACCTGTGCACACCTACAACTACTACCGCTCTGTTGGCCTCGTTCTGAATATTCAAGGTCTTATTCAAACAAAATTGTTTTGTCACATGTTTTTATTGAAAGAGTGCGTTAGTTTAGTAAACGTTATTAGAATTCATAGACCAAGCCCTGGTTACAATCAATTCACTAAATTATCTCCCACTGCAGAAAATCATCTCGACTTGCATATTGTTATGTAGCACAATTTCCTGTGCGTGAACTTTCCTCGACCTCGTAGTACACTCCTAGCAGACAGTAACGTCTGCTGTGGGCGTGGCTAAATCTCTGATATAGCTTGTTTACAATCGGCTTCCAATTACGCATTGGGTAGAATGTCTCCGGGTAACTTCTCGAATGTACTCCTTAACCCGAGATATGTAAACAACATGTCATAGGTCCTTCTGGAAGCGTCTTACGCTACATGTATATAAAGGATTGACAGATACGGAGGGACGGAGATTTTTCAGATAGATTTTCTTAACATTACGAGGCGTGTTTTATTCTTTGTGTATTTGTGTGCTCATATGTGTTTATTTCGCATTATTTATTGGCACATTATTCTAACTGTGTTAAATTTGTACCGGTACAAGATCTACCATACTGTAAGTTGAAGATTGTAATTATATTTTCTTTTCTTTTGTAATTATCTTTAGACTTAATAAATCTCATTAATTGTAACTAGAAACTGTTTTGGGTCGTATCTTTAATTTTGTTGATTCTATGGTATCGCCCTTTGTTAGGCACTGTTTACAACGAGCCAATTAAAATTAAAATAGGAGATTAATTTCTCCCAATACAAGTCAGTGCGTAACAATATTCATATACAAACTGTTAAATTTTTGCCTAGTTGAGGACTATTTCTCAAGAAGTCTATGATCTGCTTTTTAGAACACACCGGACTATACTAACATCGAAACAAATACTACTGATTTTTAGCTATAAATCTATCAGGATTTATAAACCAGTTATCATCTGGGAATCAACAATATCATTTCCTTCAACAATTCTATTTACCGGATCTTGGTTATGAGACTGAACTAAAATAGGCCTAAAACTTTCCAGTCGTAGGCGTACTCTGAAAGCTGTGCAGTACTCAGTTACCCTGACATGGAATTGTTAGACTTAGTCTGATATTGTTATTTGAATTTGTAATCGCACAGTAAAGTGTAATCGCCCATAATTTATAAATAAATTATCCATTTAAAGCTAATTTTGTGTCTGAGTTGCAATTTATTTCATTTCCTTAAAGTTTATTCTTTAGATAATATTTATAAACCCTCCAACTTATACTTCAATAAATCGCAGGACGATGACTATATTCTATTCCTTTCAGCTAATTTCGAGACAGTGTCTTGGGAAGACAGTGTCTTGGGAAGACAGTGAATTGGGGAAGGGTGTAAAGTCCATCTACCCGTATTTTCCCAAAATGTTACAGTTTAAACCACCATTCCTTAAACTGAAAATAAATATAGAAATTACACCGCCATTAATCAATGCTAGGATTAGACATGTCTGAGGCCTTGTTTGTCTGGAGTTTGAAGACAAATATCAAGGCACTTAATGCAGTAGCTCTAAAGTTTTTATGTTAAAATGTGTTGTCATGACAACCTTTATATGACTGCGATTCTATGGCTATACAATTTCATTCTAGGAAACAGAGTGGCAGAAACTTAACAGTTAAGCAAACCTGAATCCAGGGCCGTGTAGAGGATTTTTGGCACCAGAGCAAATACAAATTTTGTGTCCTCGGAAACTTCAAAATTATTTTGTCAAATTTTTGCGAATTTGAGACAAATGATATAGGCCTATTATTGAAACACTACAAAAGCACCTTTCTAGTCTTAAAAAATTTTTTTTTTATTTGCTTTAAAATTTATAATCAAAATTGTTGCGAATTAGAGATGATAGAATTTTTTTATATTAAAACACAAGAAAAGCACTATTCTAGCTAATTTTTGTTTTTTTGCAAAGTCATATATGATATTTGTTAAATGAGAATTCCACACCAAAAAGGACTCGATATAAAGGCTTGATTAGACAAAATCGATAGATCTCCCTTGAACCATAGATAGGGCCTACACCTAAATTTAATATGGTTTTGCTAAATGCTCGCTTTGCAATTCCATCAGTTACAGGACTTGGAAAAAAAAAAAGGAATGCAATGATCACATGTCCCAAAATTTCACACAGCTTAAATTATGAAATGTCGTTCAGCAAATTCATTAGAGAAAGAGTCTAGGCACTAAACTTGGCTTGGTGTATGTGTTTCAATTGCAAGATTTCTTTCACCAGACCATTTTCAGAAACAGAAGAATATTTTCAGTAATAAACAGTGCAAGAACTTATAATTTCAGCTCCAGAAACGAAAGAGTAATTCCACAAAAAGCTGAACATAGCTGCAATCTCTTCCACATCTCTAAAGCGAGCCTGTAAGTCCAAAATGATACGTATCTATAATACTAGTAACAGGTCAATAAAGTTCTTTCTATCATCTGGGTCAAATGAAGTATTTTAATCACACGAAGCGTCCTTTGATTTTTTTCCTTCTCTTGAATACGATGATTTCTGAGTCAGTTTAACTTTAGCCTCTTCCAGAAATGTTGTCACTGACCCAAACAGATTTCAATTAACATTTAATTGGATACTGATCGGTTATTTCAATGTCGATCGTAACTTTCCCCATCGATCATTCAGGGTTAATAATTTCATAC